ACCAATCAAAAACTACTTCCACTGGTCCTGCAGGTATGACAAAGGACAGCTTGTCACATTGCAGAGGGCCCACTGTCCCGCCTTGAACAAAGAGCTTGGGGTCTGAACCCAGTGTCTGCTCTAGGATTGTAGGACAGCCGGGTACACGTGTACCTGGCGCAACCATTTCAACCGGGTCGGAGCCGGGTACACATGTACCTGGCGCTGTCTCATTTAGAAAAGAGAGGACAGGAATTAGAAAATTACGAAAGAAGAAGAAGTATTTGACACATACATGTATAATACAAGCCATGTAAATCAGTCCTTTCAAAGTTTGAAAGTGTAAAGTACCAACCGGGTCACAGGTGACCCGGTACTATATTTTCAACCGGGTCCAAGCGCCTCCCAACCGGGTGGATTACCCGGCTCACCCGGCGCTGGAGCAGACACTGGAACCAGGGACATGGCCCTAAACGATTACGGTCTCACAGACCAAGTGACCCTACCCTGGCGGTTTCTGGTTGTGTGTATAACAATTAGTGGGTTTCAGCATGGTGACAAGGCTTTGAAGCTGTTATTTTCATACCATGTATAATCTCACAAGCCGTGAAAACCGCCGCGATAGGCGGTTGGGAAATGAGACTCAAGATGTCCCTGGTTCAAAAACTACCCGAGAGCAGTTTTTCTTTTCAGTCGAGCTGCTACCCACACGGGCCAAAGTCAGCAAGCCTTTGGTCTAGCCAGAGGTAGATCTACCAGGGGCACACGATGCAGCTTACGGATTTTCCTAACCTTACGTACATGTACATCTATGCCAGTAGAAAGCAGTCGTAAGACCTTTCTAAAAAGTTCAGATCAGATGCGCTGGAGCAGTCAGAGCAACAGTTCCCAATGGGAATTGTGATTCTGACTGCTCCAGTGAATCCAATCCGAATCCGGATTGACCAATCAAACCATGACGCCCTTATTCCCTTCTGATCTGTAGCTAGTTTATGTGGGGTGGTAGCGATCGATCCCCGTCTCTTCGAGGGCTGTAAGTGTAAGCAGGAGGATTCTACGACTCCGGAGCGCCTCCCTGGCTGTAACGAACATTTACAAAAGCAAGTAAAGTTTCGTGAGCACACCCCAAGAACCTACTTGTAATTGCAACAAGCATGCAGCTCCTCTAGAAACAATCTTTGTCGTAACGAATTCACGGCATGGCATCACGCGTAGCTTTCGCCAGCGTGCAGGAGGTCTATCCCGCACATCTGATATTCCTGTCCTAAAGGGGGCCGATGGTCAGCAATGTACCACGGCCTCCTCCAAGGCTGACTGTTTCGCATCATTCTTCGCAGAGAAGTGCAGCATCCCAAATGATCTCACTGAAGACACACTCCCGCCTTTCCCACCACGCACTGACGCCATCCTGAGTCAAATCCGTTTCCGGGAATCAGCAGTGCTCAAGCAGCTCCGGTGTCTTGAAGTATCCAAAGCGTCCGGGCCAGACTCCATTTCCTGCCGCGTTCTAAAGGAGTGTGCGTCTGAGCTCTCAAAGCCGTTGTCGCAGCTGTTCTCGTCTTGTCTCTCCCATGGTTACCAGCCTACAGCCTGGAAGGTAGCCAATGTGGTTCCCATCCACAAGCGCAAGGCCAAGGGCGATGTCCGTAATTATCGACCAGTCTCCTTGCTCTGTGTAGTATCCAAGGTGATGGAAAGAATAGTCAACCAGCAGCTCATCAACCATCTCAACAGCAATACCCTCCTGTCTGCCAACCAGTTTGGCTTTCGGAAATCAATCGGCACAGCTGACCTACTAACGTCACTCCAGCATGAATGGGCTTTAACCACCAGTAAGGGCGGGACCATTCAGGCCCTCGCCATAGACATAGCAGGCGCGTTTGACCGGGTTTCACACCCTGGGCTCCTCTGCAAGCTCCGAGGCTATGGCATTGGTGGGCAACTGCTGGCCTGGTTAACATCGTACCTCCAGAACCGGAAGCTGCAAGCTGTTGTTGGGGGACAGACCTCTACCCCCTCTACCATCCGGTCAGGCGTCCCTCAGGGCAGCATCCTAGGGCCCACATTGTTTCTAGTATACATAAACGACGCCGAAGATCAGCTACCTGCCAGCGTCTCCATCGCCGTGTATGCTGATGATACTACGTTATACACGTCTGTCATGCCTGGACAGACCACAGAGGCCGCCGCAGCTGCACTTCAGACAGCCGTAAACCAGCTGGAAGCCTGGGGAAGTACTTGGAGGGTTACCTTTGAGCCCTCTAAGTCACAGCTGATGTCCGTGACCAGGAAGCTGGCCCCTCTAGACATCCCCCCTGTCCAATTCCTTGGCACCCCTGTTCCTGTCAGCAGCCAGTTGAAGCTCCTTGGGGTGGTGTTCGACGAGAAGCTCAACTTCAGCGCCCACCTCCACCAGCTTTCTGTGCGCGCACATCAACGCCTCCATTTCATGCGGAAGGCAGCCCCCATCCTGGATGCTGCTGGACGCCTAACCGTCTATAAGGGCTTTGTAAGGCCCATACTTGAGTATGCCCCACTAGCCTGGCTTGGTGCTGCCCAGACCCACCTTGGGAAGTTGGACACAGCACAGCGCAAGGCCATGCAGATGATTGGACCCACCACCGTCCTCCAGAGTCTGCGGGCCAGATGGACGGTCGCAGGGCTGTCCTATCTCTACAAGGTAGTTAACTGCAAGGGCCCACCCCGTCTGACACGCATGCGCCCTCCCCCAAAACCACGGGCCGATACTGTTCGAACCCGCCAGCAGCATTATGCTCAGCGCCAGCACCGGGAACAGCTCTTAAACACCACCCCCGGCACCAGTCCCGATTACCTTCGACGTTCCTTCCCGTACTGTTTCCTTGAATTGTGGAACAGCCTCCCCGAGGACGTCTTTCCCCGTCTGGCCAATCACTCTCCACTCACAGCTTTTAAAAAAGGTGTCAACAAACACATTTCAGACCAGCCATGGTCTTGGGACGTGCTTTGAAGCCCATCATGTTGATCGTCTCACTGTTCTTTCCAGATCGCACCTCTTGGTTTGGGGATGTGCATTGAAGCACCCCATACTAACGGTCTATACTGTCCTCTCTTGGTCACCACTCTCCCTATTACTTCAGTACCTATATTGTAATTACCATTCATGTATTGCGCTTCAGAATTTCTCCCGTTTTTGTCTCTTGGTGCGTTACCGGCATGGCGATACTGAGACCTAATGGTCAGTGGAGTGCCTGTAGCCTCACCAGCACTGCTACTATCTGTGACTGTGGCGACCACCATTCAATGTCTCGTCCTCCCCTAACCGTACCCCAACTCTCTCTCTCTCTCAGCTCTCTTTTTATCTGTCTTTTCTTACTCTTTTTTCTTTGTCAGCTTTCCTGGTGGTTATGTGCTTTTTCAAGTAAATAAAAAAAAAATCACCCAGGGAAGAATGACAGACCACCTACCGTATGGCGCCTTTCCGAACACCAGTTGCCCTGAGGACGAACGCAAGCCGCGCGTTGCTATTTTTTCCCGGCTGCCGCGTAGGTCTTCGTCCAAGGGTGTTGACGACATGATTGGAGGTGGGCCAGGCTAACTAGCTTGTACTTGCCGCCGTATGAATACACTGTACTGTACACTTACATTTTACAAAGCCACACCGACCCGGCCATCAACGATACCAAGAAAGGAAACGATACCTCGCCATACCGACTTGTACTTGGCTGCCATGTTTACAAAACGACAAGGACCTGTAGTCTGGTCGCGCAGACCTGCCAGTACCTGCGCCAAGTGTAGCTAGCTGTATCCAGAGTAACGACGGCCCGCCATTCCGGTGGTGCAGTGGTGCGACCTCCATGACCAGTCGGCTGCAGAATGAACACAGCCACCTGCTACTGTCGTATTGTCGAGAGGAGGACGATAGGGACTAGGGGTCGTGAAAGGCTTTCAAGACTCTTGCAAGACAAATGAGCCTCTCTTGCTCCGCGTTCCGTCAAGAACCGGTCTACCGCTACCAAGCCCAAACCTAGAGAAGATGGAGGAGCTCATGAACTGAGCATGAGACATTTTCTCTGTGTGCTTGGTGTGCCCGGTGGCGGGTCACAGGTGTAAAACTATCTCGGTTCGTAGCCAATGAGAGAGCCTTGCTTGGCGGCTAGGCTAGGCGCATTGTCACACCTAGCCAGCCCGCGGCCCGTCGAGACTGGACTCGGCGGGGAGGCAGCGCTAGCGGATGTCGCAGACCTGACACCCGGATGGCAGATCAGAAGCGGCTCGCTCTCCACTGTCACCATGGTCACACTGGTCACCGGTCTTGGCCAGGCCAGGGAATCACGGGTGGGCTTTCACAACTCCCTGATCTTGGCCTTTGAGTCGGGGGGGGGGGGGCAATGACTGTTCAAAATGGGAAGGGTGCGGTCAGAGAACACAGAACTGAAAAACGAGAACAACCATTTCTGAAACCAGGTGGCTGCATGCAGGTGGCTTCCCCATCTTATCATAGACATACTGTCATACTGACTCGTAGGTTTATCACCAGCTGCATACACATGGTCATAGTTACCATGACACCTGGTAGATCTACATGTACCGTTCTTGAAGTACATGACTGTATACATGTACAGCCAAGAGGGAGTACATACCTCCCCTCCCCTCCCCCCCCCCCCCCCATCCACCGGCCCAGGGGCCGGGGGTTATGTACTCTTGCAGTCTTGGTACATGTACCTCCAGAACACCACATGCACAGGACCTTCATTTAAAAGGAAAGAAGAACTGGATGGCCAAGTACAAATCAGGTCACACGTCCACAAGAATCTGGGAAGTGTCACACATAATGTGACATGGCCCCACTACACAGGACCACACCCGCTGAGAGTCTGTTCTTGCGTGGAGTTCGCCATCACTCGAAGGTGAAGCGGGTGTGGATTGGCTGCATACAGTGCATTGCGTGTGTACAATGAACATGCCGTGTTATTATTTTATAATGTGAAGACAAGACTTGTTCATACGCCCAAGCTCCCGGAAACACAACTACAAAAGTGTCGAGATGGTAGGGTGCTCTTGCGGCAATGCCAGGGAAATATCCCAACTCACTACAGCACATGTACAAGTACGGTTGTGGACATTGAAATCAGCACAAGCATAGCCCTAGAGGAGCAGTCCTGCACTGCATGCATCTGATAGTGTCAGTCTACAACATGTACATGACTTTGATTGTACAAGAGTAGGACTTTCACAATAGGATTGCAATAGAATTACATGAACATTCCCTGTGCATTTCCTGAAGTCGAGTAGGGAACTGAACAAGATACAAAGAACAAGAAAACTGCCTAGCAGAAAGTAGCGAGTACTGTCCAGTAGAAAGTAGTAATCCAACAACAGGTCTAACTGTCAGACATACGATTGTTAAGATGGTCAATAAAATACTACATCAAATTGAAGTTCTGGACATTTCCAGTCCAATGTGGTCAGCAATAAGTAACACGGGCTTACATGTACACATGCCATCAGGCATGTCCAGGTCCTGGGTAGACTCTACTATTAAACAAGAGTACAAAACCCCCCAGGGGGTTACATGTGAAGCGTGTGGCACGTTCACCGTACAGTCTACCGGAGAAAAGTCTGACCAAGAGCATGCTGGATGGGAATTGCAGGTGCCCCCCCCCCCCCCCACCGCGTGATGAAACCCGACTCCATGAGCAAGATAATGCCGTGCGGTGCTCACAATACCAGGGCTGACCGGCACCGGCCACTGACTCATGACGTGGGATTGCATCAAGAACAGCACAAGCCAGTGTTATCAACTGTCAGATCGCTCATCTCCTCTTATCTCTCTTTGCCTGCTTCTTCTCTTTCTTGTCTTGTATTCTCTTCTTGATATTCGTTTGCCGCTTTTCACTGGCATCCTGCTGTTTCTTCTTCTGCATGCTCACGCGCTCTTGCCACTTCTTCTTGCTCTGCTGTTTGATCTTTTCCTTCTTCTTCAAACTCTTCTTCAGTAGCTTTGGGTCGTCTTTTAACTTGACACCTTCTGCCAATCTCATTGCTCTGTTCCACGTTGCAGTCTTCTCTTTCTCCTGTGCTGCGTCCTTGTCAGTAGTCTGAAAGCAGGCAGTGCACGTGCAATCACACACAAACAGAGTAAAACATACTCAGTAATAATAAATGAATATGACAAGCATGCCACACAACGCCAAGCATCAAGAGAAGGGGACACAAGCCAGCTCGTTCATTGCACTCATGCTCACCAAAGTCGCATCAGCAGCAACGCCTGGAGAGCAAGGACCAAAACGTGCCCCAAGAAACTTGGCACCAACACATGCGCATAGATGTATGTGCATAGCACAGTACTGTTCGCTGAAGTCCAGGTGCTCAGGCTATGCCCTGGCGTTAGCACTGGGTGCTGTGCGGCCGCCGCAGACCTGGCCACACTGCGCTAGTACTAACCAGTGCATGATACTGTTAACCCTTTAGAAGTCGAGATTTCAGTCAACGTGAAACTGAGATTTCAGTCAACGTGAAACTGAGATTTCAGTCAACGTGAAACTGAGATTTCAGTCAACGTGAAACTGAGATTTCAGTCAACGTGAAACTGAGATTTCAGTCAACGTGAAACTGAGATTTCAGTCAACGTGAAACTGAGATTTCAGTCAACGTGAAACTGAGATTTCAGTCAACGTGAAACTGAGATTTCAGTCAACGTGAAACTGAGATTTCAGTCAACGTGAAACTGAGATTTCAGTCAACGTGAAACTGAGATTTCAGTCAACGTGAAACTGAGATTTCAGTCAACGTGAAACTGAGATTTCAGTCAACGTGAAACTGAGATTTCAGTCAACGTGAAACTGAGATTTCAGTCAACGTGAAACTGAGATTTCAGTCCACGTGAAACTGAGATTTCAGTCAACGTGAAACTGAGATTTCAGTCAACGTGAAACTGAGATTTCAGTCAACGTGAAACTGAGATTTCAGTCAACGTGAAACTGAGATTTCAGTCAACGTGAAACTGAGATTTCAGTCAACGTGAAACTGAGATTTCAGTCAACGTGAAACTGAGATTTCAGTCAACGTGAAACTGAGATTTCAGTCAACGTGAAACTGAGATTTCAGTCAACGTGAAACTGAGATTTCAGTCAACGTGAAACTGAGATTTCAGTCAACGTGAAACTGAGATTTCAGTCAACGTGAAACTGAGATTTCAGTCAACGTGAAACTGAGATTTCAGTCAACGTGAAACTGAGATTTCAGTCAACGTGAAACTGAGATTTCAGTCAACGTGAAACTGAGATTTCAGTCAACGTGAAACTGAGATTTCAGTCAACGTGAAACTGAGATTTCAGTCAACGTGAAACTGAGATTTCAGTCAACGTGAAACTGAGATTTCAGTCAACGTGAAACTGAGATTTCAGTCAACGTGAAACTGAGATTTCAGTCAACGTGAAACTGAGATTTCAGTCAACGTGAAACTGAGATTTCAGTCAACGTGAAACTGAGATTTCAGTCAACGTGAAACTGAGATTTCAGTCAACGTGAAACTGAGATTTCAGTCAACGTGAAACTGAGATTTCAGTCAACGTGAAACTGAGATTTCAGTCAACGTGAAACTGAGATTTCAGTCAACGTGAAACTGAGATTTCAGTCAACGTGAAACTGAGATTTCAGTCAACGTGAAACTGAGATTTCAGTCAACGTGAAACTGAGATTTCAGTCAACGTGAAACTGAGATTTCAGTCAACGTGAAACTGAGATTTCAGTCAACGTGAAACTGAGATTTCAGTCAACGTGAAACTGAGATTTCAGTCAACGTGAAACTGAGATTTCAGTCAACGTGAAACTGAGATTTCAGTCAACGTGAAACTGAGATTTCAGTCAACGTGAAACTGAGATTTCAGTCAACGTGAAACTGAGATTTCAGTCAACGTGAAACTGAGATTTCAGTCAACGTGAAACTGAGATTTCAGTCAACGTGAAACTGAGATTTCAGTCAACGTGAAACTGAGATTTCAGTCAACGTGAAACTGAGATTTCAGTCAACGTGAAACTGAGATTTCAGTCAACGTGAAACTGAGATTTCAGTCAACGTGAAACTGGTCACGAATGTACGCACTTACCTTGAGTTCTTCCAGGCGCTGCTGTCGCTTCTCTGCTTTGCTTATGAGCTTCTTCAAGTCTCTCTTCTTCTTGAACTTCTTGCCATCGTCCGGCCTGTCGGTCACATCAATCTTATTGTAAACTAGAGCTGCGGAGTCACTGCCGTTTGCTGCACTGTCGCTCTCTGCTGCTGGCTTTACTGCTTTCTTCTGAGCTGCATTCTTGCTCTTCCCTTGTCCACTGGCTGCCTTGCCAGCACTCTGAGTGTGAGCAACACACACGTACACACACACACATATACGCATGCACACGCACGTATGCAAACAAACACACACACACACATACACATGTACACACACACACAGACAAATATGCATGTACACACATGTACACACACACACACACACATGCACACACGTACACACACACGCACACATGCACGGACACATGCACGCACACACGCACACACACACACACACACACACACACACACACACACACACACACACACACACACACACACACAGAGTATGTATGGTATAACTAACTTTCTGGTAAAATATGACCAGTATGTGATGATCTAGAAAGGGCCAGAGTCGCCAGACTGCCATTCTCACTACCTGCTGCCAACACACATAGCTAACAGAGTCTACTGTTTTTTTTTGTAAAGAATGCGTACCAGGTTGATCTGTGGCTCACGGTCCCAGCACCCACAGCTGGCGATTTGCCCGTGCAACCTAAGCATTCCACACAGTTCAATAGGTTCCACTGGCAATACATGTACACCGCAACAGGCACTTCTTAGTCTTACTCTGCCCTACTCTGCCGTGATGATAACATGAATCAATCCGAGGTCAATCTCTGTCTACATTGTGTCTCATGGAGAAGATTAGTATATGAGCCATCGAGCCATAAGCAATAGTCATGGATCATCTGATCATAAGCCATACGAGTATGTAGTACATGTACTATTCTCGTTTTATCCACAGTGATCTCATGTCCTTGATAAGCTACGGCTACTAGTATTACAACAAGCATATTGCACACATACACAAGCATACCGCACACATGCACAAGCACCCACACGCACGTAGATCTACGCAAACAAATGCACAAAGACGATACACGTGCAGTCAAGTACAAAGACATTGACCAGCACTCACTTTCTGCTGTTCAGGATGACGCTCGCCTTTCTCCGCTTTATTTTGTTTCTTTTTCTGGTCTTGCTGCTTCAATTTCTTGCTCTCAGCTGGCCTATTCGCCTTCTTTATCCAGGGCTCGTGCCCTTCTTTGTACTCTGTTTCTCCGGTTGAACAGTAGAATTTCACAGGGATCAGCTTCAAAAGAGTTTTGATGTGCTGAGAATCATCGGTAAGGCGGGCGAGGACGTCTCCCTCGGTCATCCTATCTTCGACGAGTTCCAACAACAATCTCTCTGAAACACAGGATCACGAATCTAAACTACTACTTGAATCCCTCACTCCTCAGCAACAGACAATAGTCAATCAATGCTATGCGATGGGCAATTATCATGTTTCACTTTACTTTTTTTCTTTCTTTACTACGAATATTTCAAATGTGACTCGATTTGGTCCATTATTGGACGCCATGTTCAGTGACCATGGTGATCCAGCCGATCACTTTTATGCACATTAATTAAATTATTTTTGTCTTTTTTGATTTCGTATAATTTATTATAATTACATTGTAATACATTAAATTAAAAACTATATCAAGACTTCCAGAGCCACACGTACACATGCCATCAAGAGTATTATACTCTTGATGCCATCAAAAGACCGGGGGGGGGGGGGGGTTATGTATACTCTTGATGACATAATATGCGTGTGCCATGCAAGTGAGCCTCAGAGGTGTGGGTCACCTGTACTGTTGCAGCCTGATCAGGGAGTTGCACCCAAAAAGGTGATCGGCTCCCTGTCGGCCATTTCATACCAGCAACTACCGTACTACCAAGAGTATTATAACCGGGGGGGGGGGGGGTATAATACTCTTGCTACTGCCCGATCATGGCTACTGGTAGCTGGCGGCAACCACATGTACCGACAGTGCGGTTCGTACACGTACACAGCAATTTCTACATTCAACAAACCAGAGATCAATGTAGAACATACTAGTAGTCGCCTCAGAGAGGTTTGTTGCAAAGGTCACATCGGCCGGAGCTTGAATGATGGCTGAGATAATCATCCAAATGACAAAATCAAACATCTGCATGGCTGGATATCATAAACAGCGGTGAAGAATGAATGCATGAGCAAATGATCTCAACATGCCAGGCGCAAAGCGGGAACGGCAGTGGCAATGAATAGGCTATTGGTTTCAGGCCGGTGGTAGAACCAGAAGTGGCACAACTCAGCCGTAGTGGTGCTGCTGTGACAAAAGGATGGCTGCTGCTGCATGTCCCCTACGCATTAGTACGCTACTGTACTACTGGGCTGGGAGGAACTGTACAAAAGGAAGGAGGAAAAGTGGCAAGTTCCCAGACACATGCTGTGGAACATGAAGGTGTCATGCTTCATTAAAAAAATCATTCATACTTCAATAAAGGGAATGAATATACATGTATCTAGGTATGACATTGAGAATGCGTTTCGTAACCGTGACAGCTATCATTATTGAAGGGGAGTTATCGCTGGTAAATTTCTCGAATCTAGCGTTTGGATAAAGCTGTTTTAGTGAAAATTATGGCATGAACAAGAGGACAAGAACATTGGGCAAGGAACATTGAAGAAAGGGTCAAGAAAAGAGTAGCTCCACTTCCATATCACACAAGAACAAGTAGTACCGAGATGGAGAGCACCACAATAGATGAATATTGCTGTATCATGGGTTGTGTGCATGAATAGTCAGGTGTTCAATTCACGGTGATCACTGCTGCCGTGGAGTGTGATTGCAATGAGCCACCACAGGTCTGCCGGCTTCTACGGCAAGGTCGCAACGAGATGCTATCTTGTTTTGAGATCATGCCACGTGACTGAGTCGACAAGACGGGACACATCGTGCTCGATGCTGTTCCTGGCGAGAAAGTCAGCTACAAAGTCATCGACCTTCTCAGTGGCCGTTGTCTGATTCCTATGCTGGCCAGTCGTCGGCAGCCTGGGCGCGTGTGTGCCAGGCCCTGGTCGCTGCCTATCACTGGATTGTTGAAAGACAGACGAGACAGAGGTATTAGAAGCAGGAGCGTGTGAAGCAGCAGCGGGACAGTTCTACGAAGACAAGCACACAAAGCAACAATGCACTGGTAAGTCAGCATGTTGACGCTCGGCTGCCAGATACCTGAAGAGTATGTTATCAGTAACGTCATGGCATGAACCTGTCACCACTACTGACCCATTTCACATTTCTAAACCCAACTCTGAAAGTATCTAGTACAAACGGAACACATTTGTTGCTTCAGATCGTTACTGGTGAGCGAGTAAGTGGTGAAGGGAAGGGAAGAAATGACAAGTACTTCGAAGCATAATCTGCTTGATTCACCAAATGTAAACTGGTGGCGAGGAATTTTTCTGTGACGGGTATTCGAGAAAGTGCCCCCCCCCCCCCTCTCAGTGCACTACACCCGTCAACAATCATTCTTATCGCAGACATTGTGCTTACCAATCCCGCACTGGCTGTTGACAGTGATGCTGGTGGTGCAAGTGCGTCAGTCAGCTCCGACAATAGCTGATTGACAACGCTGGCATCGGTCGGCTCGTGCGCACGCATACCCGATATAGTGTCACTCGCTTCTCCACCACGAGCCAGCGGTCCTGCCAAGCTATCGGACGACGAACGAGCTGTGCTGCTGGTTGTGGTAGTGGCTACAGCCGTACTGGAGCTGGTTAAACCTGCGGCCGCGGCTGCACCAGCTCTGGCCTGGTCCCGGGGACGCAACCCGACTACAGCCGGGTTGATTTTAGATGGAAGGCGGCGAAATGAGCTGCAACGAGGAATACATGCACCGAGAAACAAATCATTGCCTACAACGGTTCTCGGTGGAGATACTGCAGGACAGTGCAGGATGATGTCAGGACAGCGTAGGGTGCGCCTAGATTGTATTGTATTGTATTGCACTACAGTACTGGACTGCGCACTCTTCAGGACACAACCATGCGTACTCCACAAACAATGCATAGAGCAATCAGAAGACAACGAGCATACAGCGATTGCCCTTACCTGTTGAACGGAACATCTTGGGAGTCCTGAGCGTAACACACACCAGCATGGAATAACATGCATGTGAGAAAACAAAACTGGTGCAACGAAAGGAGAAGCTTCTCCCATACCTACTTGCACTACACTCATATGTCAAGTTGATCTTGTGATACCAGGATTCAATATGTGTGTGTGATAAGCATGGTAACTGTCGTATGTACCTGCTCAGCGCAGACTACAGTACACACTAAACTACTCGAACTCGGTCTACATGTAAGCGGGAGCGGGCGGTGTCCGTGAATAGGTACTGTTCGGAAATCAGAACTCATATTCAAGTTGTGTAAGTATACATGAACAAGCACGCTATGTTGCAACACATTTCGAGCGTGGGAACAGCGCCATACCACAAGACTCAGCCACACTACTGTACATACCAGCACCGGTACATGAAACAATCTAAGTAGCCGGTTGCAAGAAGATGAGTGTATAGATGCATGGTGGAAGTGAATGTTCTGCACCATCATACATGTACTAGTACTTACTAGGGTAGCAGCAGTGGGATTGCCCATATCACTGCTCTGCATGCGCACAGCAGTGCGAACCTGTAGCTGTTGTCGCAAGTCATCGATTTCCACCACCGCTGCCTACAACAACAACGACGACGACCACAACAACCACAACAACCACAACAACAACCACAACAACAACCACAACAACAACCACAACAACAACAACAACAACAACAACAACAACAACAACAACAACAAACAACAGGAAAACCACCCAATCCTAACAATCATGTTGGGCTTTATGGCGGAAGCAACGATGCCCCCCCCCCCCCACACACGGTATCGAGCCACAGCCTCGATACCATGTAGTGTACGCACACATGGCACATAGACTGATAGATACCGGGCAACAGTGGCAACAATACATGTAATTATTCTGAGAGAGAGAGAACATGTAATCTAAGCATGACGACCTACATTGAATCGGCGTTGAAATTCTTTCTTGTCATGACTGAGCTGGTCATTCTTCTGCTGTGCCTCGGCCAATGCTTGCTGGTGCTTCAAGACCTCTGACTGCCTACCGATAGCCAGACACACAAACACGCACAGATAGATACAGTCCATAGGGGAAGCAGCGTAATTGCCAGGAAAGATCCAAAAGCATCATTACCAGTCCACCTTCAATGATAATGTCATGCTGTATACATGTACTCCATGGGCACTTGTTTTTGTACACACACACTTACGCGCACACACACGCACACGCACGCACACACACACAATATGACAAAACCACCATAAATGTACATTCATATTCTCTCTAACGCCTCACAACATGGCATAAAGCACCCACTTTTCGGCAAGGCGTATGGTGAGGTTGTCCAGCTGTGTCTTGACTTTTTGCTTGCCCAGGCGCTCAGCTGCCCTTACTTTCTGCAAGGAGAACAGGAAACAAACAAACAACACGTGTCAACAACAAGAAACGAACAGACAATGACTCGAAAACAAGAAGCAAAGAGACGCTACGTCTCAACCACAATATATCCATGAACATGAGACTATGTCACTTTGCCATGATCAAAAGGCCTTGCTGGCTGGAACTGGCATCAAGTTCCAGTTCCAGTCAAATGTTTTCAGTACAAATCAAGTTACTTAGTTGAATATGCTACAACGTACGTCTGTCAGATGGCCATGCTCCTGCTGGCATTTCAGCACCATCTGCTGGAAGCTCGTCACCTCGGATAACTACACAGGAAGCACCAACAGACAAACAACACACACATGCACATACACACACACACACACACACACAGACACACACACATGCATACGCACACACATCCTTTCTTTTGGACCTTTTTGTAGTGGTGTTAGTTTACAGAGTGTAATGTATTGCCTTCAAGTACTAATGCGCTGGTGTTGCATTGCGTTACCTTAGTTATACATTGGCACCACACGTTATCATATACCACTCATATCATGTCACACCTATATCATGTCACACCTATATCATGTCACACCTATACGATTGGTATAATAGACTAGCAGAGCTACAGGGAGATCTCTCTCTCAGCCTGCACACCTAACTGTTGGTCACCACATTGGCGCAGTGAACAGGATTGTGGCCAGGCAGGATGGCAGCAGTCAAGGGTCGACCACCACGCGAATTTGTTGTGGACCCCTCTGCCAATATCGCAGCCGATTTCGACCTATGGCTAGAGGACTTCGAAGACTATCTCGATATCGCTAAGGTCGCAGACGCAGGGGAAAAGAAGAAACTGCTTCTAAACCTGGCAGGCCTATCTCTTCGCCGCATTGTGAAGGGTCTCCAGGTCGCAGAACCCTCTGGTGACCAGGACGCGTACCAAGTCTTGAAGGCCGCAATCCAATCGTACTTTCGCCCGTCGGTAAATGCAACTGCGGAGCGTCACAGATTCAGGAAACTCAGGCAGCAGTCTGATGAGTCCGTCACCTCTTTCATGGGACGGCTCCGAGAAAAGGCGGCACTTTGCGAGTTTGACTCGACTGCAGTGGACTCGGTTGTGAATGGCCAGCTTCGGGACCAGTTCATAGCCGGACTGCAGTGCCAGGAGGCACGCAAGCAGCTTCTAATGGAGTCAAGACTAACGCTAGCTGATGCTATCGCGAAAGCTGTCGCATTAGAAGCCTCAAAGGTTGACAATAGGCTGTTCAGTGAGGAAGCAGGAAGGACACTGGACATGCCTTCGGGAAGTGTGGCAGCCGTAGCACCGGATACGGCTGCGGTGAATATGGTGAAACACCGTCAGCACGGCAGAAGCAAGGCTCACACGTGCAAGTACTGTGGCGGAACCCATCCACCAGGCAAGGACAATTGCCCGGCTGCGCGAGTTCGCTGCAGACACTGCTCAAAGGTCGGGCACTTTGAAGTCGTCTGCCTGTCCAAGAGCAAGGAAGTTAGAGCCCAGACTATTGGCGAGGAGGATGAAGCCAATGAAATTTGCGAGTCTGTGTATACCATGCACACTGATCAGAAACACTGGTTCACAGCAGCTCTGCAGGTGGATGGAAAATCATGTGAAGGCCTGCTCGATACTGGTGCAACGAGAACAATTTTGACATCGGACATAGTGCAGCCTACTCGTCGCAGTGACCGAACTCTCCGTGCCTACAACGGGGGAGTTGTCAGCACACTGGGGATGGCAGACGTCACCCTATCATCTGCCAGTCGTAGCTGCACTGTGGCCTGTTTCATTGTACCAAAGGGCTCCCACCGAGTGCTATTTGGCCAGGACGTGATCAAGGAACTCGAGCTACTAGTGCCAACCCACCTGGTGGAGTCTGGAAATGTGGTCAGCGTTGCACCAGTCAGCATTACCGTCAAGCCAGATGCAGTGCCTGTCGCTCTGCCAGCTCGGCGTCCCCCTTTCAGCATCAAGGACGAGATAGAGACAGAACTTCAGCGGTTAGTCGATGCTGACATCATCGAGCCGGTGAAAGAGGCTGCGGCATGGGTTTCCCCAATCGTGCCAGTTCGCAAACCCAGTGGCAAACTACGTTTGTGTATCGACTACAGGCAGCTGAATAAGAATGTTGTCCGAGAGCGACATGTCCTGCCAACCCTGGATGAGATAACAGCGCAGCTGGACGGAGCGCAGGTGTTCTCAGTCCTCGATGCAGAGTCGGGATTTCACCAAATTGAGCTTGACCAGGAGTCGCGTCCACTGACGACTTTCGCGGCCCATTGTGGGCTTTATCGCTTCAAGCGTCTGCCATTTGGTATTGCCAGCGCACCAGAAATGTTCCAGCGCGTGGTCTCGGATATTTTGGCAGGGCTCCCAGGAGTGATTGTCTACATTGACGACATTCTTGTGTTTGGAAGCAGCCAGGAAGAGCATGACAGGCGTCTCGCAGCAGTCCGGCAGCGCCTGGAAGCAGCAAATCTCCGGCTCAATGCAGACAAATGCCAGTTGAGCAAGTCCAGCGTCAAGTACATTGGCCACTGGCTGTCGGGCACCGGCGTGGCTCCCGACGGTGACAAGCTGCAGGCCATTGCAGACATGGCTATGCCTAAGTCGCTTCAGGATGTGCAACGTTTCCTCGGAATGGTAACCTACCTCGGAAGATTCATTCCAGATATGTCGTCCATCTCCGAGCCGGTGAGACGGTTGGCAAAGCGTGTGCCCTTCATTGTGGATAGCGAATTCTGCAACGCGTTCAGCGACGCTAAGACGCAGCTGGTGCAGGCACTGGACCACCTGGCCTACTTTCGTTTGGACCCAAACGTTCCAACGGCCATAAGCTGTGACGACGCATCGCCTTGTGGCCTGGGAGCAATTCTATGGCAGCAGAATTCTAGTGGTCAATGGCTACCAGTGACATGTGCCAGCCGCACTCTCACAGAGGTAGAAACTCGATATTCGCAGATGGAGAGAGAAATGCTGGGAGTCGTGTTTGCGCTGCAACGCTTCCGGCAGTACGTGCTCGGGCGTCACGTCGAGGTGCATACTGACCACCAACCCCTGATATCCATAGTGCAGAAGCCGTTTGATGATGTACCTCCCCGGCTACAGCGTTGGCTGGTGTCTCTCATGCCCTACACCTACAAGTTGGTGTACGTCCCAGGAAAACAGCTCTTGTGCGTGGATGCTTTATCCAGGGCTCCACTACCCGGCCACGCCCCTTCGACTGCTGAGACAAAGTCTATGGCCGAGTTTGTTGGCATGGTGCTAGAGGCCTGTCCAGTAGACCTGGAGCAGGTTGCACAGGCCACGCAGGACGACTCTATTCTACATAGTATTCTGCAACGAGTGCTGACGTCCAGATGGGAGGCTGTGAGTGCAAGTGAAGAGGCATACTTCATCGTACGCGATCAGCTCTCAGCCTCAGAAGGTGTCGTGCTTTTCAACGCAAGAGTGGTCATCCCGGAAGCGCTTCGCACTGCAGTTATGGCGTTGGCACATGAGGGGCACCCAGGTCGAGCTGCATTCCTGGAATCTCTCCGACGTCGAGTTTGGTGGCCCGGTGTCACAAAAGATGCCACATTGTACGCCGAGCGCTGCTCGGAGTGCTATAGGAAACATAGCAACTCGCATCAGGAGCTTCTCCCTTCTGAGATTGAAGGTGTATGGGAGAAGCTCGCAGTAGACCTGGTGAATGTGGAAGGACATCAACTGCTTTCCATCATTGACTATGGCTCGCGCTACCCGGAGGTGATCCTACTGCAAAGCACGTCAACCACCAGCGTTGTGAGTGCATTAATGGAGACGTTCGCAAGGTTCGGCTTGCCAGCACAACTGGTCTCGGACAATGGTCCCCAGTTTGCTGGCAGAGAGATGGCAACGTTCCTCCAACGCCTAGGGATCCGTCACGTTAAATCGAGCCCACGCTACGCTCGGTCCAATGGCATGGTTGAGCGTTTTCATCGCTTACTGAAGGAGCGGATGGCAGGGCTTAAACCACATTTACCGTTCAGCCGACGCCTGCAGCAAGTGTTGTTCGACGTCCGTAACAGCAACAACTGAATGATTGGGATGGCGCCAAATGAGGCGCTGTTCAGTAGATTGGTTCGCACGAGGCTCCCCGCGTCAATTACTCCGACGATTGTCAATCCGTCCCACCAAATCCAAGCCAAGGCAGACATGGCCACGCAGCATGACGCTCGCCGTGGAGTGCGAGCGCTTCCTTCAATGAAGCCGGGCACTAAAGTTATAGTGCAGGATGGTTACTGCAACCCAAGACAAACTTGGAAAGTCGTCGAGCAGTACGGACGACAGGTTGGAATCACGGATGGACGCAGAATACTCCTGCGGAATCGTGTTCACTTACGTGAAGTGGTCCGGCCGGGATGCCAGGTGCAGCCAGAGGTAACACTGCAGGAGCGACATCTGCGGCAGCCGAGCATTCCTCACCCAGATCGGCCACCTGCAAGTATGCCACAGACGAGACGACAGGAGGAGCCTAAGTCAACTGGACACCCTGTGCAGCCCGGTCCTGTTCATTCAGAAGCAGGTCCGACCGGAGTCGCCAGTGGAAGTACACCAGCCCCAGATGCATCACCAGCGCGACCGGATGACCCTCCAGAGAGTCAGCGTGCCAACCTGGGAAGCCGGGTGGCTGGAGGGCCTGCCGGTGGTGGGGCTGTATTCCGTGAAGGCATCGTGACCCGTGCAGGAAGGAGCGTTCAGTTATCACAGAAAGCAAAGGATGCTATGGGACTGGTGTGAGGAGATAGCACTAGGGTTCAGAGCTAGTCTTGAGTTGCATTGGCTCAATCCTTGAACACAACATCTGATCGACGTTGCGTTGTACGCTGCAGTTTGTATTCAAAATTGCGTTCTTTTTAAAAAAGGGGGGTAATGTAGTGGTGTTAGTTTACAGAGTGTAATGTATTGCCTTCAAGTACTAATGCGCTGGTGTTGCATTGCGTTACCTTAGTTATACATTGGCACCACACGTTATCATATACCACTCATATCATGTCACACCTATACGATTGGTATAATAGACTAGCAGAGCTACAGGGAGATCTCTCTCTCAGCCTGCACACCTAACTGTTGGTCACCACAGACGCCCATCGTCGGAGGCGATGATAGCGATGCTACAGCAGAAGCCATAGCAGCTTGTGCTGGTATTGCACCATTCAACAGCTTGCAAGACTGAACGCATCCAGACACACACGCGCGCACACACGCGCGCATCCACACACGCATCCACACACACACACACACACACACACACACACACACACACACACACACACACACACACACACACACACACACATTTGACGCACATCGCCAGAGGCGATGATAGCGGTGCTACAGCAGAAGTCATAGCAACTTGCGCTGGGATTGTAACATTCAACAGCTTGCAAGGGCAATTGAACGGGCAGCTGGGCTGCGAAGCCCACCTCATTAAATGTACTGCACAAGCTTTTTTCCGCATTCGAAGTGCGGATGAGGGATGACGGGAAACAGTATTCAGGAATGAAGTTTCATTCTTGACCAAACCATGTGTGTTGACATCCAAGAAACCTCACACAAGGCAATCGACCTACTTTTCTAAAAGATACATTAAAACCTGGTTTAACTGGTTCTAAAGACCACCCGGCGACCGCTTTTGCTTGGACCGTGGGGTGGTCGCTTAAACCGGGTTTTACTGTACCGAGGCAGAAGGTCAATATACTTGTACAAGTAGAAACATCGAGAATGCCGAGAGGGATTACTATATCGAAGGACAGTACCAGTATCAGTGTTTAAAACGCAATACTAGAATCCAAATAAACATTGCATTGTACTCACAGCATGCTTCAGGTCAGCACGGAGCGTTGCAGAGTCAGTGACACATTTGGAATGCCTGGCCAGAATAGAGATACATGTACAAGCTACGTTGGTGAACCTTTGCAAAAAAGTGCTCAATGCCACGAGATACACGAGATACAGGTAGGTAGAAACAAAGTTGTTACTTGTACTGTGCAGCTGTTCCGACTCACTCATGCATTGGGAGACACAGGGTGTGTCAAAAAAAATCACGGTGTGTGTGTGTCAGGTGATGCTGAAATCACAGCTCCTGCACAGTGTCATGCAAGAGAAAGCGCACTCACGAGTGGAATGTGTAACAGAAGACCACGTACCGATTGTCAGCTTCCGCCAAAAGCTGTCGTAAGTGGTCTTCATTCTGTTCCAGCTGACTGCAACACAGGGTGAGACATACATATGCAACAAATCCAAATTATCAACAGTTTGCGTTAACATACTAGTTCCATCTTCTCTCCAAACAGTGACAATGAGCATGTTGACCAAGATAACGCAACCATGCCATGCAGATCACCTTATCTGATTCTGTGCCTGTCCTAGCTCCTCTCGGACTGCAGTGAGCTCCAGGGAAATTAACTGTCGGTCTGTCGCTTCCAGATCGCTGCACAGTAAGATCAGCAGATAGGAAAGAGACACTATTCATTATATGGGATTCAGGCGACAATGCAAGCGCACACAACCCTTCATACATGTACGTACGCACACACATGCACACGCATACAATACAATACGCCCATCCGGAGATTCACACACACACACACACACACACACACACACACACACACACACCGCCAATCTGCAAATGCACTGGATGTGCACCCGCAGATTTTCTCTTTACACACACACTTACACACTTACACACACACATGCACCCCCCCCCCCCCCACACACACACGCAAACACACCGCTCCCACCTTTGCTTACTCTATATGTGTCTGCTGTCTGTCCACAGTTGTGAGCAGCTGTTCAACGCGCTCGCGGTGCTGGCAGCAGTCCGTCTGAGCAGTCTGACAATGGAAAGAAGTGGCAAAGCCGGGATGACTTGACTCAGGTAGAGCGATGTGCAAACTTACAAACGACCGTTGCAATGCACACCCTAGACTATGAACAAGTACAACATGTGATGAAGCCAGGGCACAGCAGCCGCGGCATATGTGTTGAAGTGCACAACCTTGTACTGAAGTAAAAGTAGTGGCAGAGGTCATGCAGTTGTCAAACCATACTCACCTTGATTTGCTTCTGTAGCAGCTTGACTTCGTCTCGCAGCGCCCCGTTATCCAGCTCCATGTGCTGTGTTACAGTGTAGATGAGACAGATGATGTCATCACAGCAAGCAGGTCATCAGCAATCACAGTCATTCACCCACACCGCAACCAGGCCATCATTCATCAATAAAAGCTGATCAGACCAGCAGTGCGCAGTACATAAGATAAGACGCCTGAAAGTTTCTAAATACCGTATTTTTCCGGAGTAAGTTATAAGCCACACTTGAGTAAAAGTCACACCCAGGTTCTTGGACATCTACCCCTGTATATCACCATTCATTTGACCATCGGAGTAGAAGCCACACCGACTTTTTGGGTGAATTAGGAGTGTTTAAAAAGTGCGGCTTATAGTCCAGAGAATACGGTACCACTAGTAGCAAAGATATTGCACGCACCACCAGAGAATGATTGAAGAAGGCCGCGGCGTGTGGGTATACATGTACATGTAGCTTGGAAATGGAATACAAACAGTACACGTACTGGCTAGGCGACGCATACTCGTACAGTAAGTTATCATTACTACCCCCATGTACAGTGGACTCAAACACGTAGGCACCCTTTTCCAAATTACTCCACCATCCGGCCAGTCTCTGGGTCATGTGGTACGGCATGTTTGACCGTAGTTTGAGTTGGAAAAGGTCTGACCAATTGTACTTGCACATGACTCAAATGCAATTCCGAGTAACGAATAAGTCCTAGTTCTGGATGGTGTTCCGGTACCGCAAAGACCAGGAAAGAGAGCTCAAATGTACACCAGGGAATAGAGTACAGGTACAGGCAGTGAAGGGAATGCAGACACAGACATAGGCATGCCGGGAGTGAGTGCTTACCTCAAAACGCGTGCAGCGCTCAGCTAACTGTCGTCGATAGCCTATGTTCTCCTCTGTTATGCTCTTGGTCACCTCCTGTTGTTTCTCCAGTGCTTTGCGGATACTTTGAACCCCACGCACACCAGGCACATTGCAGCAAGACAACACCAATACCGGCACCCATGCGCACGCACACGCACGCACATACACACACACAAACTTTAGAAGGGGCTCTCTGTTCGTCTCTCTGTCTGTCTATGGTGTCCTGGTCATCATGTGTGACCTTGTCTCTTCCTCTAGCAGAGACCTTTCCAGGAAGTCTAAGATTGAGACGGCTCTCAAAGGGTTTTAAGTTAGTATTGACCTATGGGACAATGGCCGACAAGGGCGACTTTGACCATAAGCAATGTGCCTCACAACTACATGATTACTACATGACTACATGTAGTAACCTTTCTGATAGCTCACTGACTTGCCAGTTTGAGCACTCTGGCAAGGTACGTTCAGGCCTGGTTTAAATCTGGCTTTGGAAATTTTATTTCATCATTGCTATCCGGTTCGGCCTCATTTTCTCTGTGCTGCGCTGATGAGTCCGCAACGGACGAAACAATTCTCTCCGCAGATTGAGTGTACTAACCTTTCAATATTCTTGTTGCTGTCGTCACGCACCGACTTGATCTGATGGGACATGGAAGATGTGAGAAAGAAACGGAGAAAGTGATGAACCCTGCACCTGCAGTAGTGTCTGTTGTTGTTGTTGTGTTCAAATGACAATTTCACGTTTAACTTACACCGCATTGCACAAGCACATCAAGTGACAACATAACTGGCGGCGTCCTTACTCGGGTTTCGAGATCTCGGACACGCTTGGTGTGGTCTCTCTTCGTGTCATCCAGCTTCTTTGCACTGGTGGCTGCTTGCTCCTTGTAGCGATCACTTGACGCCTACAGCAGTGCACAAGAGGAAGGAAATGCTAAAGTTACCCTCAGGTGAAATTCATAGATTTGCTCCAAACTCCCCACCATGCACACACGCGCTCTCTAGCCGATCTTGTTCGACACATCAGCAACATGACTTAACACAGATTCCTCCAGTCCATACAGATATCTCACCAGTGATGGTTGTGAAGTACTGAGTGGCTAGCACATTGTGAATAGCACTCATCTCGTTTTCTACAGAAAATTACTGTGAAAACTGAAAATGCAGCAGCGCAATCGCGCCCTTGACAATGCCTCAAACACATAATTATTGAGTAATACGCCTGTGGTCCCCCCGGAAGGGTACTGTAATTTCACAAATTTTCAGTGTACTTTTATTTTCGGCACTTTCGGTGCAGCTGTTCCATACCTAAAATTTCAATACATCGAACAACCACTAACACACATAATGCAATAGGGAACTGCTTCTCTGTACCGAAAATTTCTGTTCACCTAACCTGGCCTTTTGCCCTCATACCGAAAATAATGAGCACCGAAAAATTGTGAAATTAGAGTACTCGGCTACACGCCTGCATACATGTGTAAATGACAAATTACCCACCTGATGGGCTGAGCAACGATCGGACAGTTTGTCCATCTCCATTTGGGCAGAGAGCATCTTGGCGGCTGCCTCCTTTTCTCCACATTGTGCTGTCCGCAGTTTCTCCTCCAGTTCCTAAAATGAAATTCCCACAAAAAAATAGAGGATGATTCTCTCTGTAAGTAAATCCTGGCACAGCGGCTTCCCCACATTACAATATACTTTGTCTGAGGAGGCGGGCTGCATATCAATGGAAGATTGGGTCAAGCGGTTTGTTGGCAAGCTCGAGGGGACATTGAGCGGACAGGAGCTCATATGCACTAGCTGTGTGTTCTCAGGCTACTTGTGACGATGATGATTGAATTGCACTGCAGAGAGTGTAAAAGCTTCCCTTGCATGGAATTCCACATCAATTACATGCATAATTATCAATGTGTGTGTGTGGCCAAAGGCGGGCAAAAGATAAGCACAGTGCGCATACATGCACACACACACACACACACACACACACACACACACACACACACACACACACACACACATACACACACACACACACACACAAACACACACACACATACACACACCTCAGACATGCCCATCGCGGACGCGATGATAGCGAACAGCTATGTTAGACATAGCAACTTGTGCTGGGATTACACCATTCAACAGCTTGCAAGGCTACACACACACACACACACACACACACACACACCATTAGACCATTGGACGCCCATCGCCGGAGGGGATGATAGCGATGCTACAGCAGAAGCCATAGCAGCTTGTGCTGGGATTGCACCATTCAACAGCTTGCAAGGCTGAAGAATTGACCGCCACTATTCAGCCTGGTCTACACCACACAGCTATGAAGAGGCTTTTTCTGGCCCACACCCACACACCCACACCCCAGGGGCGTGCTTGGCGAGGGGCACAGGGGGCAAGTGCACCCCCCCCAAAATATTTCGATCGGGGTTTTGAAAAGTCACCAATGTATTGCGGAAAGCCCGACCTCGCGGGAGCACATCCTGCACCTGTGTCTTGCACATTGTACTAGTTAGTTGTAGTGCAGTAGGGGTCTAGTGCGCGGCGGCCTACATGCAGCCAGGCAGTCCCGTACGTACAGCCTGTCAAGTGTCATATCAGATTGCATGACATCGCGAAAGGATGCGACCACAGTGGCACACGGACGTCAGCGCTTGAAAGGAAAGAGAACGGAAGGGAAGGCACAGTGACATGTCGAAGGCTTTTGATAAAGTGCACCACGACAAGTTAATTCAAGACCTCCTTGCGGTTGGAATTTCTGGAAAAGCCCTTAGTTGGTTCGTCGACTACTTGTCCGGCTGCAAGCAGCAGATCCTCATCTCACCTTCAACCAGCCCTGCTCTGGCTTGCACCTGCGGAGTGCCCCAAGGCTCTGTTCTCGGCCCTGTCCTCTTCAGTATATACACACGAGATGTCCCTTTGGTTTCCTCGCCTGTGCCAAGTGTACAATTTGCAGATGACATAGCCCTGTACGACTCCCAGGCCTCAGCGGCGGAAGCGTCCAGAACCCTCACCACAGCGGCAACTGCTCTGGCCGGTTGGCTGAAGTCCCGAGGCCTCATCTTGAACGCCACCAAGAGCCAGGTTCTGACTATCTCTCCCCAGCAGCATGTACAGGAAGTAACAGTCAAAAGCGGCGACTGTCTCCTCCCCTCAGCGTCTTCTGCACGCTACCTCGGCGTTCACCTTGACAATCGCCTAGACTGGGACACCCATGTAAACTATGTGGTCACCAATGTTGCCAAGAAAATTGGCGCCTTGTGGCGGGCACGCCGAAGCCTATCAAGATGCTCTCGTCAGGTGTATGTGAAGGCGGTCATAATGCCCGACCAGCTTTATGGCTCCTGCTGCTTTTCAGCCGCAATGCGAGAGGGTCAACTGAAACGACTGCAAACCGCGCAAAACAGAGCCATCCGCTGTATCGATGGCAACCCGCCCCGGACAGCCATGCAGCCGCTGCTCACTGCTCACTCCCTGTACCATGTCAGCAAGCTCTACAGGCAGAAAATATTGATCACCATCTGGCGGTGCATCCACGCCCGCACCAGCCCTGTGCTCGCCCAGCTCCTGACCCCGGCACAAGGCACCCCTACCCGCCATCAGCAGTCAAATGGCCTACTAAGCCAGGCAAACCGTAGCCGCCGCGGTCAGCGGAGATTTTCTGTTGCTGGTGCTCTGCTGTGGAACGCTCTCCCTGGTGAGGTCCGCACAATTACCCGGCTACCTGAGTTTAAGCATGCATGTGTACCATACGCCTGTAGGGAGTAGTTCGAGTTGCTGCTGATCGCTCTGCTCTCCCTCCCCGTGCAGTTCAGTAATCCTCACGTAGTATCACAGATACATCGTATTCTCTCTCTCCCCCCGTTTACTCGCAGTTATTAGTATCCTATTTTCTTACTTTGTGCTTCCATAGCTTTTTCTATGTTCTTCCATAGCCACTTCTAGGCTAAGCCTTCGCCGTCATTTTATTGGGTCGTCATCCCGTTTGAATGTGCGAAGTGAAATAAAAACCAACCAACCTACCAACCAACAGTGCCGTCGACGGATTGGTTTTTAAACTTTTGTAAAGTTGTCACCCTTTATTTTGAAAAAAATTGATATGATGCTGTACTGTGTTCATTCTTGATGACATACAATCTTTGTAACAGTAATAATGACGTCACATGTACAAATATATGATGTTGTCACCGGTGCAACCTTTTGAAAATTGCTGTTGTCTGGAAGTGGTGCACCCCCCTGGAAGGGGAGCCGAGCACGCCCCTGTCACCCACACACACAGTGACACAGGGACAATACCGTGTTCTGTTGGTGCTGCTCTAACAGTTCTGTGTTCCGCGCCGACAAGTCTGCAGTCAGCTGGAAAAGAAAACATGCAGGCACAGAGAGAGTAACAGCACACAGTGGAAGACAATATCAAACAACACCGTTGGAGCACAGTAAAAGCAAGCCACCAAATACCCTCCTCTGTAGCTTCAGAACCTCACGGGCGATTCACATGGCAGGCACCTGACAAGATTGGATTTGCCTGTCATGTGAATCGCCTATAACCCCTACCAAGCACATCCACACTCACTTGCACTTTCATCCTTGTCCAGTGCATCCCTTCATGCATGGTACTCGGGCAAAGAATTCCTGACTATGTCTGAAGTACATACTTAAAGGTAGATATTTATGCACTAAATATGGAGCAAAATTGTAAATGGCTGTTTTACAACTACTGTACATGACTTGCATTGATTTTAATTTTCAAGAAGTTGTGCTGCCTTCAATCTGTTATCGATACAGTACCTTGTCACGCTGCTTGACCACCTTCTCATAGCGCTTTGTATGCTTAGCTTTAGCATCACTATGCGTATGTAACAACTGTGCGTGCTGCAAAACAAGGTAGAAAGATACAGAAGCAAGTGCCGGCAGGTGCATGGTACAGTGAGTAACACTATGCTATGAGGTAGATGTTTAATCACAGTAAAATCCCGTCAGAGCGCCCCTACCTCCGCCACCCTTCGAGTAGGTCCAGGTGGGGAGGGGCGGATGGGCGAGTCCTACTTGCCGCATTCGGTACTACATGAAAAAGTACTCACCCTACGAAAACTGTGTGTGTGTGTCTCGTACACCGACCAAAGATCAAGAGCAGGAAGTCCTACAGACCCATCAAAAACCCAGGGTTTGTGCGATCCCTGGTCAAGAGGGTGTGAACTGTTGCGCACATTTCCAACCGGGTCGAGCACGCGTCTACGTCTGCAGTGCGGTACGGCATCACACTTCACAGAGTCATACGAAGATTCTCACTTCCCTGACAAGAAGTCAGGGTGGGGCGCATGGGAGAGATGGGGCGCATGGGAGAGACGGGGCGCATGGGAGAGACGGGGCGCATTGGGAGAGACGGGGCGCATGGGAGAGACGGGGCGCATTGGGAGAGACGGGGCGCATGGGAGAGACGGGGCGCATGGGAGAGACGGGGCACATGGGAGAGACGGGGCGCATGGGAGAGACGGGGTGCATGGGAGAGACGGGGTGCTCTGGCGGTATTTTACGGTAAATGTGATGACAGTGAATAGAGGATAGCAGGAAAAGCATAGACATGATAAGAGAGGGAGAGAGACAGAGAGACACAGAGAGAGACAGAGAGACAGAGAGCGAGAGACAGAGAGAGAGAGAGAACGCGAGAGAGAGAGAGAGAGAGAGAGAGAGAGAGAGAGAGCGAGAGCGAGAGAGCGAGAGAGAGAGAGAGAGAGAGAGAGAGAGAGAGAGACAGAGAGAGAGAGAGAGAGAGCGAGAGAGCGAGAGCGAGAGAGAGAGAGAGAGAGAGAGAGAGAGAGAGAGAGAGAGAGAGAGAGAGAGAGAGAGAGAGAGAGAGAGAGAGAGAGAGCGAGACAGCCTGGAGAGAACATGCATTGTTTGCAAGCATATCAATTCACAGATAGTACTGATACACAAGAAACGATGCCAACTAGCACAGCACAGGTATCATGGCATGAACAGTTGAACACTCGTATTCACACCCAAGGAAACGCATGCCAATAGCTCGCCTCACCTTATTCCTAAGCTCATCCAGCTGTTCAGTATAGGCTTGTAGTTCCCTTCTCTATTCAAAGGAGATGGTAGAGACGAAGCAGACAAGAGATGGTGGATATGTAGCCAAACGAGCAAAACAAGTTGCTATGCCGCACGTGCAATCCTACTTATGATTTTCAAGAAGAACGTTCCACCTTGATCCGGATAGCGTGTGGAAAGACTGCTGATGGTCTTGGCATACTTAAAGTAGTGGTACCCTGCCTCCTTTGCGTGGGACAGGCTCCACAGCGATTGGACAATACAGGGCATCCTAAATGTAGTGACTCTGCACAGTGAGCCAAGGGCTACACTCTGCGAACTGTCAACCTCACTATGAAGCCTTGGATACCACCACTGGAATGCATCGAATATTCTATTGACTATACAGAATACAGTTATATCATGGTTATGCATGTAGGCAGGTCAAAACAGTAGGGGGGGGGGGGGGGACAGTTACCCCGTAACCCATTTTTCCATTTTCCAAAACTGTCTTGCCATGCAAAAATGCAACATACGGGAGGGAACCCCTCGACTTCACGCCAGACAAGTGCGCTTTTATGACTCCTCTGTTAGTGGCTATCGACTGCATTTTTGTTGAGTTGCCTGAAAAAAACGACAAATGAGTAGGGTGCCACAATTTCACGGAGGATGGGGGGGGGGGGGGGCTCAATCAGAGTAGGGAGCACTGCCCCCCCCCCCCCCTCCTTTGGCTAGAACCATGGTTATAATTATGTAGGTCCTCGTGACCATTATATGCGAGGGGAGAGACTACAGGAAGAAGTTTAACGCAGTGACGATCAACGATCAACATGTGCACCGCATGCAACGTTCTCTACGCACTGCGGGCACCAGCCCCGCATCATTCAACCGGATTTCCATGTCCACGGCCGACAGTACATGTGCTTGACTACAGTAGGTGTTAGAGTCTTGCCTCACCTGAGAGATCATAAGTTTGTCGAGCTCATCCTTCAGAGATCGGACTTGATCCTCTCTGTGTTGAACGATACCGTTTAGGTTATTGACCTGTCAAACACACACACACACACACACACACACACACACACACACACAAGGTATGCAAGAATCATTTCCAAAATGAACGATAAAACAAATTATTTCCTTGCAGAATGGGCACGCGTACAGTCAAATCTGTCGTAAGCGACCGCCCCTTGGTGCAAGAAAAAGCGGTCGCTTACGGCAGATGGTCTCTTACGGCAGATGTATGGTAAATCCGGCATACCAGGTATATGCTTCCATGTACTCAAATCGACGAGAATAATGTGATTTCTAATATCATTTTATTGGATATTCAACGACGACCATACCCGTATAGAACGCGTATGCGACACGGCAGTAGATCGACACTGCGGACTTGAGAGCTACAGCACAGCCTCAGCACAGGCCAGGCGCCAGTCGATCGCACTTGCAAGACAGCGCATTTTCACACTTTGCAGTTGACAGCGCACTGGCAAGTACAGTTTCGCACCTTTCTGAACCTGGGTCGCGGTCGCTTACAGCAGATTTGAATGCAGCCACCGTGCATGAAATCGCAGTCGCTGGTCGCGCACAGCAGATGGTCGCTCTGGACAGATCAGTTTGTATGTGAAACCGTCGGTGCACGGAAAATCGGTCGCTAACGGTAGATGGTCGCCTACGGCAGAGGTCGCTAACGGCAGATTTGACTGTATCAAAAACCCTGTTGCTGACAAGTACAAGTGAGCATGTACTGTAAACCGTGAAATTATTGCGATGGTCTAATTTCTGCGAAATTCGCGACCGCGTGGAAATCGCGAAATTTAGACAGCGCGAAAAGGAGATCCATGGAAGGTGTAGCATGAATGCCACAGTAGAAAATTCTGCAATCGCAAAAATTAAAACCTCGCAAACCTGTCCGGATTCCGAAACCGCGAACTAAAAACGCCGCGAAAATTTCACGCTTTAGAGTACATGTTTTGTGGCTCTACTGCTCCACCGCACATGGCAGACATCCGCCGCTCCACTGACACTCTACATTACATTCGTGGCGCCATGATTTTTGAGCAGATGAATTTGGACTTAAACAATAATGTTGATTTCTCCAAGGTGCAAGAAACCACACCGTTTTTCTGTATTCTTTCTCGCAAAACATTCCTTGCTGAGTGAGTTGTGAATATTCTCATTGTGCGCCACGATTGCAGCATGCCTGCCATCGACAAAGCTGCTCCACAAAAACTCATGGTAATCCACGAGCCAGCTGCAGGAGCTCGAGTCACAGTGCCTATGGTAATCATCACCATGCACTTCACGTGCTGCCAAGCAACAGAGCCGCAGTGGGAACCGGGCATAATTTATAGCATCAATTCAGACCAGGTGGCCCGGGCTTACTTTTTGCCGAAGATTCGCAATATCCGTGTCCCGGTCTCGAATATCTCTCTGGCATTGCCTATCTCGAGCGGACAGGACACTCTCAACCTCCTTCAATAGCTGTACGAGAAAGAGCAAAGCAGCACCCATATGTTCAGACCAACAGAGAAGAAAATTGAACTCTTTTGTTAAAATAAACGCAAGGAACAAGTCCCCACATCCTTTCTCCTTAACAATCAGTTGATGTACGGCCTCAGGTCGACGGGTGGTCGGTGGTAATTGGCATAGTGGGCGGGCATATCAGCTCATATCACAACCCTACTCCGTGGCAGGCTTCTGCAGCAGGTGATGCCCCAGGGTCCTCCAAGATAGCGTAAATGTACGTATGTGCCACAATCCAACCAAGACACCGCCCTCATGGATCATGCGAGGGCCAGTTTGACTGGGTGCTGGATGTAAACTGATATCAGTGAACGAATGCGACATATTGTCATATACGAGGTTTTGCTTGAAAGACGAATGCACAGAGCATGTGTGTGTGTGTGTATGTGTGTATGTGCATGCACGCACATTTTTGCCAGGTGCATGTTCAGCTTTGCTCCGGCAAGGCTATCTTTAACGCAGTCAGGAGAGACGGAAAGATGCCAATAGCCTACCTTGCCAACATCCCGGTCACATGCGGCCATCACCACCTGAGAATGCACAAACACACACGTACACAGACACACACAAGCACACACACACAGACACACACAAGCACACACACAGACACACAGTGAGAGTAACGATGAAGCCATCTCGGTTGGCGTGGATGAGTGAGTCATGTGTACAGGCTGAGCTCCCTCCAACCCAGGACATCATTCCCATGGCTACATGACTGCATGGAGGTCATGCAAATCACTTCATGATGGTGAGTCAGCGGAACTGCTTATGGACGCTATGTATACAGCGTGAGTCACCAGTGCATCGCTGTGCCACCACTGGCAAAGTATCTAGGAGGCACATTACTGGAGGACTGAAGTGCACTAACCCCCCCCCCCCCCGCCCGACGACATGCCTTTCATGATGTAAATATCCTTTCCACTCTCTCAACCCTCTTCAGGAAAAATGCTTGAAAATGGTCAGTTTCCTGGCTGGCAAACCAGTAGATTATCCAGTCCACTTGCAAGTTTACCAAAACTGTCGCAAATCCCCCGCAAAGTATGCTGCAAATTTTGAGCTTTTCTTCCGCGATTTCCCCCATGAGACAGAACGAATGAACAATACTCGCCAAAAAAACCGGCCAATGCTGCACATGGTAGTCGACTACGATGCATGCAGTATTGGCCGGATTTTTTTGGCAAATATTGTACGTGGGTATGCGCAATCCAGGCTGTAAATGTGCTGACGTTCGGAAGATTTGCAGAGTCTTGTGTACGTGTTAGTCCACGTCTACACAAACTTGTTATCGTGCATTTACAGATCTAGATCCACATCGTGTGCATCGCCTACAACTGTCACTCCTCAGGCGCGTGCGCCGTATGGGTTCCTGGGTGCCCGGAACCCCCCTTTTTTCGCTCAAAATGCAAGATTTTGCTTCATTTTTTGAAATTTTTCCCAGGGGAGCCCCCCCCCCGAACCCCCCCCCTTGAAGGGCACCGGCGCACGCGCCTGCTCCCCCCCCCTTCTCCCTGGCTCTCTCAAAATGTGGGTGCAAAGCTGGACTAGGTGGTCTGGTGGCAGGACACATCAGTCATCATTGCGGTTCAGACATTCATGTACATGTAGATCTTAGTACACCATGCCATGGTATGGTATCAAGAGTACACAACCAGGCACCGGCCTACAGTAGGCCCTGGCGGGCCAGTGGGGGTTACGTGCTTTGTCTTGATGTACCCTATACTTTTGTATTATTTTAATACATGAGTTGGAGAGCTCTGCTTTCACAACCGTCAACAATGCACGGTCGCCGCATGGGTCACGGCTTCACCGCAGTGCACGGCGGCTGTACAGACTCAGTGTACTTGAGGCATGCGACTTGACTTGAGCATAGCAGACTGACAACACCCAGCAGCACCAGTCATGCTAAAATCCGAATTTCAAGAAACTGCAAACACACAAACCATACCTTGGTTGCTCGGCTTGAAGCGTGACGCTCGAGCTCCAGTGCCCGTCGGAAGGAATAAATAGTCGGCAAGGGAAAGCCGTCGGCGAACTTTTATAGTGGATGGACAAGTTGAAAATTCTTTAGGACTGGGGAGAAAGGAATACTTGAAGTTGTAGATGCTTCTTCTTTTGATAACCACAGACTTTCTGTCGACACATGTATGTGCAGCTTATTGTGCTAGTGCGGGGAAACAGCGTAGTGCATGATAGCTCCAACTACAACCTGACAACAGTCAAACACTTTCTCCTCCAGTTTGAAAATTCAAATTTTTTACATGCAGCAGATCTACTCCGCGATCGCCACATAGACGAGGGCCTAGGCTAGGGGGGCAGACCGAGGCCGAGGGCCAGTAAGAGCACGGGAAAACACATCAAAATCCAGGCCGTTTGACCCTGCCTGCAGTGCATTGTACCAAGAGTAGATAAACAAGAGTGTGCAACTCCGGATCTCTCCTGCACAATCTGCAGATACCCCGCGCCCACGGCGGAATTTTTTGTTTACGTCACCTTTTTTCAGAGAAACGCGGCTTTGCCGCAGAGCAGTGTGAGAGCACGTGCTGGGCACCGACCTTGCAGTGTAAAGCCCAGCCAAGTGCACGAGGGAAAACTCTCCAAAAGGCTCGCAGCGCGTGCGTCGTCGAAAAGATTACGTCAACAAAAAATTCCGCCGTGGGCCAACCCAAGAGTCTTGTTTATCTACTCTTGATTGTACGGTTCGAACCCCAGTTCAGGTACCCTTTTTGGACCCTTTTTCAAATTTCACAGCACCGCACAGTACACTGCAGTGTAGGATAAAATCTTGAAAAATCGCCTATTATTATTACGGGAGCTCGCCAGAGCCAGGGCCCATCTTTTGTGAATGGACTGTAGATAGGGGGATCGATCCGGGACCGCGTAGATCTACCGGTCGACCGTATCCGGATCAGGGAGGTGTACCGTACTGCACACGTGGATATCTTGAAAAGCCATATGATATGGCCATGCTTATATGCAGTTTGTTCTGCTACAACGTTACGTAACGTTACGTAGCAAGAAAGCCAAGACATTTGTGTGTTTCCAAGTGATTCGTTTCGGGATCGGACCTTCCTGAACTGGCTGAAGACAGTGAAGTCAGCGAGAAGATCCTAGCCCTCAATCGTAGAACACTGAGTGGCGCATGGCTCTTTCCACAATCTGCGGTCAATTCTCTTCATCTTCTTTGCCTTTTACGGCTTGCCATCCAGCAAATAAGCACAGTAATAGTCAGTATCTGATTAATTGTTTGTACTCGTAGTGACCTGCGGCAGCAAGAGGGATAGACACTTGTAGCAATTTCACTGTTGAAGTATTTCCTGTGGTCTTGGCTTCGGCCCGCCGCATTTACCTGCCGTGCGTGACGTTGACCTGCTACGGCATCTGATACTGTACTATTAGTATTACTACTATGGCTTCTGTTGTCAGTCCAGTCAACAATCTCTGTTGAGGATTGAGCTACATAACAATCAGTCATGTTTCAGTAGTGCAACAGCACACAACAGAAGTGCCCAGTAAACATCAGCTTCAAGATTGTTTCTCAAGCACACAGCTACTTTGTGAGAAGTTGTCTTTAGATCGTTCATAGTACCACTGGCTCGCTTGGCTCAACTCTCTTTCCCTACAACTTAGTACAAGGCTACATGTAAGGTGCCAGTATCGCTTGCACGTGTAAGTGTAGTGCATGCTGCAGACTTGTAGAGCAACACCATCCATCCTCTTGAGCATTTCATTCTGCCAGTGCCACTCCAGCCTCCCCCGGTTATCAACGCCGACTGACCGGCCACTGGAATAGCTTCCTGCCCCGTCCAGGCAAGCTCTATTCAAGCACACGTGGGATAACCTAAACCCGGCGAAATAAGCACCTAACTGGTAGGGTGCAGACACCGTGTGTGATTTTGCGTGAGCGAGAAAGGGGCAGAAAGACGGAGATCACGGTCTGACTACGATTTGCCACCTGGACCCTTTCATTTCCACTTGCTCAACAGCTATACAGGGCTATAAACTCGTCGATCACAAGCGCGCTGGTGAAGAAGGATGGTGTCACTGCGGAGGTCAGACACAACTCAGGAAGGCTGCTAGTGACTAGTACTCCGCAGCGGAAGGATATGGCAGGCGCAAATTTCAGTCTGTTGCTGTCCAATTTTCTTCGCCAGAAGCGCGCTGTGCTGGGCCTAATATTCATCGCAACAGTAGCCATCATTGTTCTTGTCACCAGCAATGGCGAGAACAGCAAAGGAGGCAAACGAGGTGGATCGCTGGCATCACTGGTCAACTGGGCGCAACTAGGGCACCAGGAGGATGATGCGGAGTCCCGTGGCGAATCGCACGTGGAGGGGGAACAGGACAGTCAGCCAGTGTTCGGTGATGGCGTTCACCTGCAAACTGGTCACAGTGCTGCTGCGAGCTCCATACCACATTATCTGTCACCTGAAGCGCGGTTGAAACGGATAGCAGCCACCTTCGCCGAGCGGAATCTTGGTGATGAGAATTTGTGCGCAGCCATCAAACGTGGCGAGATCAGCGTTGACAGGCACAAGCGTCGCGGTGGCAAGAAAAGCGCCTGGATCGCCACGTGGAAAGGCAAAAAAATCGTCGTGAAGCGCAATGACTTCGAGGTGAGCGTAGCTTTGAACAAGCACCTCTTCTACGCTTGGGATCGGAACGACGACGGCCGCGTGGAGCGTGTCGAGTTCTTCAAAAGTCTGTCGAACGCCATGGAACGAATGGGTGAGTACAAAATCAATTGTTGTGTCCTGCTGCATTGTATGACTATGTTCTGAGTCTGTAGTCAGCACTCGACTCTACACGCATATACAGTACAGTAACAGTAACAGTCACTGAGTGTGTTGTTTCTTGTTCAGTCGTTGGACACAGTGCAGTGTCTTATCTCGTCCGTAGTTTGTCAAGTGAGCACGGCGATCGATCTAGCTGCTAGCTGTGCTTGGTAAAATGGGTAGCTTCGCTGCAGAACACGGTATCCCCAAGACTCAAGAGATTCCAGGACTGTAACAGTTACTGTAACACTCAGTATTTCCACTATCTGAGGCTGGGCAGTGTGAAGTACACGTGGTGGATTATCCTTGCTAGAGGAACTGTCACGGAGGAGGTGACAGGCTGACTGACAAGTAACGCCAGAAGGTCCTGGCTTCAAAGTCACAATGCCATGTATGTATTGTTATGTTTGGGAGTTGTGGCTGATAATGAGCATGTCAGGTGTGGAGCAGAGCGTTCCGCAGAATCATTGGCGCTATGTTTAGTAGACTAGCAGTTCACACTTCAAGTGCAGGGCTAGGGAAGGTGTGCTGTGTGCTGCTCTGTAATCTCAGTTTGCCTAAGATTTAATATGTAGAATTATTTAGTGAGAGCAGCACTGATGTGATTAAATATTCACTAGTTGAGGGAATTCCTGGGAGACGTTATCTTGCACAGGTGGCCAATAGTATCACAGCAATCAGTGTTGCTTGCAGCTGAAAAAAAAGGAATGCTTCCGTTCAGTTCATGGCGTACGCAGCGTACCCCTGTGTTGTGGCTGGAACAGCAGCTATGCAGCAAGCAGTTGTGAGGGTGATAATTTTAAAATTCACTCCCGATCATGACAGTAGTAGTTCTAGAACTCGGAGACAATGTTAATATTCAATGTAATGCCTTGAGGAGGATGCCAGTTTGAGCAATCTTGATGATAACGCTAACATGTGTTCATGACACAGATGTGTTGGTAATGGGCTAGGCTGGCTGCATGTGAGCTACACATGTAGTAGCAAGTCCACACTAATTCTTGGCTATGGCTAGCCTGATTTAGCATGCAGTGAGTGCATGCCCTTACACGCCCAATGCCAATTTAGAACTACATGTAGTGTCTTTGGCAAATATCTGTAAGTACCACAAAGCACACACCCATGCATGCAGGCACACGTACATGCACCACACGCACACACACACACACACACACACACACACATGTGACGAAGAGTTGGTGCTTTCTGATCATTGTTCCGTCCTCCTGACTAAATAACTGCCCCATGAATTGAGACACACTGGATATACATGGCTCATTGATGGAATTATTCTTGTATAGCTGTATGTTGCTACTACCGTGCACTGGGACAAGTGGCTTCCATCATGCAGCACGCCTAACTGCACCAGTTTTAATCTGATTAGCCAGGAAGAACAAAATTGCCTTTATCCGGGTACTGATAAGTAATTACGTGCCCCTTTGCACAAGATGCAGTTGGCTTTAGTAGAAGCACCATGGACGTGCGTATCGTACACAAATTAGTACTAGCACTGTACTTGCTGTGGGGACACTGTACTTGCAGTGGGGAAGGCAGTGCTGGCATGGTAGAGTTGGTTGTGTTCCTACTTGTAGATTCTCTACAGTGTAGCCTGCCACTTACTTGCCATGTCACTGTTCTGCCTCCTTTTTTTTGTTCCTGGGTAGACTGTTCAGGTTTAAATTCTGCTGTAATCTACTGCATACGTAATACTACTTGTAAAAAATAAAAAAGTACTATGTTTCCTTTGGGAAAATCACTTCCCTACTCTGACATCTGACAGTTCTGTTTGTATGCTTGATGGACTGTTGTGTGTTCACCATCATGTTGTCCAACACACTTAGACATGTCATGTGCGATGTAGTGTTCTGCTTGAGTGAGAACCCATCTCACAGCTCCGAATTTGGAGTCATGATGGAGGGTATTTTCTTGGGGACATTGTATGCTGCAGGGTGGAAGTCTGCTGCAGCTATTTACATGAATCTCTTCTTTCCTGCACTCTGTTTTCTCATGAAGATTGCGGAACATTATTGTTGGCACACGCTCGCATGCTCCTTGACTAACTGCATGTGTTTCTCAATACATGTAGCAGGTCTTGATTGCAGTACGCTCTATGCTTGGGTAAGCAGTGCATACCAATCATCCATATCGTGTGTTCTTGTGTGGGTGTGGATGGTTGACACATTGTGCCTGTAGGAATATACGAGGAGGAGCTTGACAATGTGTTCCACACGGCCGATGTGAACCGTGATGGGGTTCTCAACGTCAAGGAAGTGCTGCTGGGAGCTGCCATCGTGTACGAACGCTATAATCAGATGTTAGCGCCGGAGGTACGTGCAATTCACAGGGCCTCCTCGCCTTGTGCAAGACATACTATTCAACTTACAGTTTGGTATCAGTGTAAGTGTTACATTGGGTACACGCGTATAGTATACAGATGTATGTGAGTGTGGTAGCATTGGTCAAGGATACATGTGTGTGCCTGAATTGTAGCAGTTCTGTATCCACGTACAGTTGTCGGCAAAGAAATCCAACAAAGCCAGTTTCAGTCATTTACACAAAGTACAGTCAACTTCGCTTATAACGACATTCGGCGGGGCATCAAAAAAGTGTCCTTATTCGCGAAGTGTCGTTATACCCGAAGTCTCATTATATGTATTACAGTTGGATGGAACTTTGCTCTGGGCATGGACATTCTGTCGTTATTCGCGAATTGTCGTTATATCCGCAGTCGTTATTAGCGAAGTTGACTGTATATACTTTTTGCAGCGGCATACATGTACATGTACCAGAGCACAAGGTCGAATTTCTTTGCCAACAACTGCAGCACATGTAGTTCAACTTCATATCATAATTATAGTTGTTGGGTCTGGTCAATTTGCTGTGAAAGCATAACATTTGTTCCAGGATTGAAACATCGAGGGTGCTATGGTGTGCATGAGTTTTATGCGCGTACTGGAACCCCATTCATGGACTATCACACATACCCATGCATGTGCAAAGTCAATATTGTCACTACTAGTACAGTGCGGATCGGCTATAGGGTTGTCGGCTATAGTAATATACCTCTTATAGTGATCGTATCCTCAAATTCATTTTCGTAATCCACCCCTTTCTATACATATCGGATCGGCTATAGTAATAATCGGCTATAGTAATATATCGGCTATAATGATACGATTTCTTTGTCAAAATGATCTTATTGCATACATTTTTCATCGGCTATAGTGATGATCATAAAAAATTATACATCGTACATGGCGAAATCTGATCGCGGCAGCCAGGAAGCGCTGGTACGACTATGATATCCCTCGGAGGAAATAATTCGAAATGTTTGGCGTGGGCTGTGCTTGTTGTTCCGGGGCATCCTCGAGCGAGATCGGAGGCAGTAATGAGTACCAGCGCTGAAGCGCTACCGTGGTCTCCGCCGAGATGTTGGAGAAGGCGTTCAGGTAACAGCGAAGACGATCAGGGACGCGGAGAAGCTTCTCCGTGAAATACGACATCACGATCGACCTGCTACTTGGAACGGTTTCAGCGGTGATGAGTCGCGCGATGGCGACCCAAACTGAGACTCTACTCCCACTAATCGATCCTGTAGATATTGTTATGTCGATTGAATGTGTTGAAGTGTTTCTCTTCCAAAAGAACACATTTGTTGAGCACAGCAACTCCATGAAAACTCATGTCAAAAAATCACGAAGTTTTTGTTTCCGCAGGAAGTAGCTCTGCGCACAGTCACATGCACAGCATGCGTCTGCACGCTGCACTGATTCGAATGACACCATACACGCATTTGTCAGGCATACCTAAGTATGCATATCGCCTATAGTATTATATCGCCTATAGTGATATTTTCACGAAAATCAAACACCAACGCTATAGCCGATCCGTACTGTACTAGTTATATGCTCAAACACAAACGTAGTACGCACATTCATCCACACATCAACAGAGCACGGTGCTCAGTGCTGGCATGGGGGGGGGGGGGTCTGATGTGTTTATACTTACTCACAGCACATGTTGTGAATTGCACACTTTCCAATGTCACTTGCACTTGCTGCTGCCGCCGCCGCCGCTTCTGCCGCCGCTGCTGCTGATGCTGATGCGCAGGCATTGATTCTGGGTGAGAATCCCGACTTAGACATCTTTCCTCGGTACTATGGTCACTGCAATTCCTCGTATGCAGTGGAGTTCCTGCCTGTTCACTCACTGTATATGATGCGTCAGCGGGAGTGGAAGATCAGAGCGAAGTAAGAATGCCTTGCGTCACTGGTGTGTACCTTAACCAGCTGGCAGTCTTTCATAGGTTGTCCTATTTTGACTTGGTTCACTGCGGGATTCTCACCCAGAACAGCTTGAGCATCAGCGCCATGAAGTTACGCCAGTAGCTATCAACGGCCAGCTTTGGTATGCAGAGGCGTGTGTCCGTATCGGTACTGGCCAATCACTGCCAGTAGATATCGGAGCACTGAGTGGCGGTAGCGCTGTGCCTGTGTGTTCTGTGTGTGCGTGTGTTCGTGCGTGTGTGTGTTCGTGTGTGTGTGTGTCCTTGGTGAACTGTTGCTGCTGCTCAGGCGCTCATCTTGGGTGAGAATCCCGACTTGAATATCTTCCCGTCATACTTTGGTCACTGTAACAATAGCTACTTCGTAGAGTTCTTGCCCATGCATTCGCTACATCCCATGAAAAAGAGTCAATGGTCTGTGCGATCAAAGTAAGTAGTGCAGTATCCTACTTGCAACATCATCATGTATGCGACATGTGTAGGGAGTTCAGTTCCGGTCGCTGAAAAGCGAAAAATGCAGTCACATCTCGCATGTACAAAGTGAATGGGTGCCTCGTGGCAGCAGTTCGGGATGCAGTTCGAGGCCCAAGTATCTTCTCCCGCGGCCTTTTCAACCTTGTCGATGCTATTTTTAGGTAGCTGAGGTCATTACCTTTCTAATGGTGCCACACATGTCATGCTTTCAAAAATATGCCTCCGCGCTTTGCGCGGCGCGGATGCACTTCGAAGTACTAATTTCGACCAGATGCGTACTCGGCCCAGCGAGGAACACCCGATTTTCGTGTTCAGCGGCCTCGAATTAGTCTAAAACAAGAGGATTCTAGAACATTTAGGCTCATGCTTTATCGCGGTAGAAGGAAAATGATCCCAGAAACCAGCCCACGGCGATTTCCTGGTGGTGGAGGAAAAAAATCGAGTGAACTGCGCGCACACTATAGAAGCGGCGATGGTGAAAACGTGTGACTTGTGCAAGTAGGCGTGCATGGCATGCATGTACCCATCCTGTATTGCCATGCGCTTCTGCATGTACGCACCAGATAGGCCAGTGCTGGACGGAAACCACACGGCCCACATACATACTTGCATTTACTTCTGCGACTGTTTTCACCCCCATTTTCCGGTCTTCGATCGACTATAACTCTAGATTGCCTTTGAATTTTGGGTTCAAATTTTCACAGGTTGTTCCTCAAATCTTTCCGGTTTAGAAAAACTAGCGTTTTACTCGAAACTGACGAATTTGGTTGTTCGATTGAACTCCCTAACATGTGTACACGTTTATATTATTGGCTAGCCCATTTTGCTCTGTTTGCTTTTTGCGCATCTTTATTGTTCGTGGTGTTTTGAGAAAACTGTAAACCTGCTTGTCGTGCTAGGTTGGCGCTTGGTCTCTTGGATTGGGCAAAGGTTGCAACTGAGAAGGGCTTGTACGCCTGTGACATGATTCTCGGCAACTTTGGTCAGGGAGAAGACGGAGTGATCAAGGTAGGCGTTTGATGTTAGCTCGGCTTATCTTCACACAGTACTGTACCATTGTTTTGTTATGCCCTGTAGGGGGGGGGGGGGGGGTTGGTGTTCCATTCGTAGCACGTACTGCATTGGTAGATGCAAGCTTTACCTGCATAGTAAGCTAACGCGCAACGCTTCCCGTCTACTGTTAATTAATATTGCCCACCGCAGATCAATGACTTGGACCAGGTTCACTCGCATGAGGATGTGAAACGTTGGGAGGGCTTGCCGTGCACACCAGGCACCAAGGGTATTGGATGCTTTGATGATGGTCACTGTCGCATGGTGTGCCAGAACAACGGCAAATGTCCCATCATGCCGCCACATCACAACTACAAAGGTAAGCAATGGAGCATGCACAGTGGGGAAACTGACAGCGTTTTCTCACAGCAGTGCTTCCCTCGTTGGTGTACACACGCACACGCACGCAAGCACGCACACACACACACACACACACACGCACGCACACACTGTAACTCACTCATCACTCACTCATCACTCAACCACAAGCATGTACGAGCGGACATGCAGGACTTCTGACCACATCATGCCTAGCCGTACATGTGGAGCCAAGGTATTAGCTGCGCCGTCGTCGGTCCCACACGGCGAATGCCCTTGGTTGCTTAGTAAAAGCATGGGGAGTATGACTTGGTCTGTTTGCTCGTGCAGTACTTGTGTACTGCAACTAGCCACGGTGATGTATTTAGTATTTACACAGTGTGATGTCAAAATACAGGCCTACGGTACGGTTAGATGTACTGTTTCCTGTGGCAAATCCTGATCAACCATTGCTGTGAATAGTGGCAGAGTGATGACAAGTCAAGTCCAACCTCACGAATAGCCACATCGGAATCAAGCTGAGCCGTGGTGGTCACTGCACAGCCCAGTGCTCGTGCTGGGGCCCACGCCGCACTGGAGCTGCTGTCTTAATGGGGTTGTATATCACTTGCCACCGCTGTGTATCTGCCAGAGGTGTGACGCAGGTCCCATTGTACTGTCATGGACATTGAAATCCGATGGCATACTGCTTTTAGCGCTTACATGCACTGTAGTTCACGCACACACACTGTAAAAATGGAGCAGCAGTGCTCGCGACTGCAAGGCCAGCGCCCTGTAGTCCCAGGACTTCTCAACGGATTTCAATGTCCGCTATAGTAGGTGTTATTTCTGTAGTGGTCGTGATCTGTAACAGTGTGCCTTGGAGGTGTGATGGGCTGGCGTTGACGCGTTGACTGGAGGTCTTCCCTGTCCCAATTGTTTTGGAACTAGAAGCATTCTCCCCCTAGTGTTCAAGTGCCATCGTGTCTCCAAGCGTGGTGCAGAGAAAGCTCCCCGGGATGCGGCTACGTTGTCTCTATCGTCATCGCTCCTGCCCCGCTGCACGCACTTGGATAATGTGTGCGCCCGTGCCGCTCTGTCTGTCTGTCCTGCCTGTATGTGCTGCCGACAGAGGTGTGTCGACGACTGCTCTGGCGGCCAAAGCGTTCCTTGTTCATGAAAGACACCCCTAAAGACGTGCGCGACGCTGTGATCAAGTGCCGTGAAGCTGTGACGACAGAGGACGTCATGCATTATGTGAAGATGGTTCATAGATTTTTAACCCGCGAGACAGAAGGCATGAATGCCCAGGACATTATCCCGCCGGACTTTGAGGGCCAAGTACGATTTGGAAAGAAGCTCGATTTCCATTCGGTGGAACTTGAGCAGGCAACCAAGACTGGTAAAGGTCGCGTGCCGGCCGGCTTCAAGCAACCACTGCCGTGGGAATTCTAGGCCACGAGTATCAGACACAGCGAGTAACGCCGGTTTTAATCCTGCTGTCCGTTTGCCACTCTTGGAGCTCTTGCCCGTTTACGGCTCCTGTGGAGTGTCGCAAACCTAATCGTACAACACCGAGGTGCATGCACTGGTACTGTATAGAATCTATACACCTAGGTGCATGTACTGGTAGTACAGTATATCTATACAGAGATAATAAAACAGCTAACCATGAAATGCTAACCTTCTAATACACTTAAACAAATCATTAATAGCTGACCCGTAGCTAATTGGCTTCATTTAAATCACATTTTAAAAACTTATTTGAATTGCTTCGAAACGCTCTCTCAAATCTGAACCGACGCCACCAGTATTGATAAGCTACCAAACACTGGATAGACATACGAGAGTCTCCACTCGGCTACAGGATTTTTATGTGCTAGTGCAAGCAGCTACAATTTTGACGCTACATGTCTTTCTTCCAGATATGATGATTTTGAAAGAGTTATTATTTGCTAGATACCTTCCATTCAAGTCTTGACGTTTATACAGCAAAATTATATAGTAGTTCTTCACTTTTTGACACAGGATTTAATTTTACGAAATAGTGGTTGCGACTTTGGCGATGATTTTATTATTATTATTGAAATCTATTTTGCAAAAGACCCTAGAATTGTAGCACTGAAATGACCCTATACTGCTTCAATTAGAAATAGTTCTTGTTACATCACACAGTATTTATTGTCCAAAGAAACAGCTTTTGATGTTTTATCCACAATTTTCACCAGTTTGCTATGTGCTGTATTCTCAAATTGTTCACATGATTATATCATCTCCCTTGTTTGAAAATGGACAAATGTGAGATGAAGTTAGTGTGGAGAGTCTGCAACTATGATGATGAGTTTGGTGTGGATAGTGTTCCTCAACCATGGTGGTGACCATGTACGGTCTTTTTTCCCCCGTGATGTCTGGCCGGTCCGGTAGTGTTGCGTGGAAGGTTTCTCACATCTTCCTTTGGGTTTGATGGAGATGTTCAGTGAGAAATATTCCGTGAGACTCTGTGTTGCAGCATGTTTCCCTCTCAGTCTCCCGTTGGGATAGTTGGCGGGACTACGATATCATGATGATCACTGGCATCACACCTATTACAGCACCGTCGCATGTCGCAGACTTTCTCGGGATTGCACTGTGTTCAGATTGGTTCTCCGCACATTAGTGACCTGGCTGTGTGTGGGTGTGTGCATGTTTGTGTGTGTGTGTGTAGGTGTGCTTGTGGGTGCCGGTGGTCTTGCGTTGTACGCAGACCATGTGATGCTGGCGTTGGTTCCGTGGTTTGTATCTGCATTTGGAAAGGACCTGTGCTCTTGGATGTGATATGAGTGGTTGGTTCTGCTCAGTTCAGATTCCACTTGGGAACTGTACTTGGTATGTGTGCTGCCCAGCATATACGCGTACATGTATACTGCTTCCTCATGTCGGTATGTATGCACAAGAGACCTTGCCTCCGCAGATAGCCGAATCCTGTTGTGTATGCCGTTCGGAATGCAGAGAGTGTGGCCTCAATTTGTCATCGCTGCAACACACGTACGCGCCCAGGCGCTTTCTTGATTGTTCCCGTCCAGGGCTTTCTTGGTTGCTGGGACTGTTGTTGGGACTGGTGCCAGTCTACTACTGCTACTGGCTACAGCTCACACTCACAGTCTCCTCTCTGTGTGTCTCCTCTCTGTGTGTGCCGACAGAGATTTGCCATCGTCTGCTCTGGCAGTCTCGTCCTGGTCGTGCCCTGTTTACAAATGATTCCCCTGGCAATGTCCTCTCTCTGGTCAAACACTGCCGCCATGGCAGGACTACTGCCGAAGTTGAAATCTACGTGCAGAAGCTACGCGAGGCTTTAGAGATTGAGGCTGATGGTGTCAGTATTCAGGATATTGCCCCGCCGCCATTCGAAGGCCAGACACGCTTTGGGAAGAAATTAGATTACCTATCTGAGGAGATTCAGGCAGCCAAGACGGGTGTAGGTAGTGTGCCAAAAGGCTTCAAGCAGCCTCTGCCATGGGAGTTTTAGTCATAACTGTTAGTTCCATAGTCTGTCTCCATTGCATTTGAAGCTTGTCTAAGTGTTACATGTAGGCTCTACCACTATTTTAGGGCAAATGACAACGTCTTGGACATCAGCATGCTCATGAAAACAGTCTATTAGATTCTTCTGAAGTATATCTATTCAAAGTTGACTTTTATTGGCTGCCGGCCAGCCAGTTGACCAGTAGCTAACTTGGCTACTTCTATTAGATCAATGTATATTTTTATGACTTATCCGCGGTATTTACCTATTTTACAGATATCCTATTTAGGTTTTAGGGAATTTTATTTTAGACATTTATTTACACCAGTTCACAATGGCGGGATGATTGGTCTAGTTTTCTCTGTAGGAACTGACCTCTGGTTCAGGACTTCTGTTTTACCTATTGTTAACCCTTTATTACCATTAAAAAAAAAGTTTATACCCAAACATTGGATTGCTTTTTTAATCATATTTAATGTCATATGACTGTGTTGGCGGAGCTTCTGGTATCATCGTCTGCAGTATTTGACGTATCGCTCCTCACTCAACTTCATTGATGCAGTGTCACACAAGGATATTGATAGGATTGCCGTACGGCTGCTTGGAGTATTTCCTCGTGACTTCTGATTATAGCTTGACAAACTGAAGGAGGGTGAATGATGATCACTGGCTTTACCTGTAGGATTGTAGAACGGAGAATGTTGAAGGCAGTCTCATCAGTGTTCCGGTGCGCATCCCGCACTAACGGTGGTTGACCAGGTGGTTGTGATTCATGCTATGCATGCTTTAGCGTTTAAGCCGTCACTAGAGTTGGTTGTCGCACCAGATTTCCGCAGAACGCTCCACTGGGACAAGTATAGCTGTGCCATAAAGTCGCGAGCAAGGTCCCAGTCTGGTGTGCATACATTTCCCTCTTTAGAAGTGAACCCACACCATCAGTATGAACGTATACAATCTTTTCCTATCAGTGTGAGCAACAAGCATGCAGGGATGTTGGCATTGAAGAAACTCTGCAAGTGAAGAGATAATTATCGTATGAAAAATTCGTCCCGATGAGCACTGGCGAAATGGCTGGTGAAGATTTGTCGGTTATCCGGATCTTGACTCTTCGACCTGCACCAAGCCGGCACACAGTGGTTGGTTGTCAGGCTTTATAAGTGATGGCGTGTGCCTGTTGTAGGCGAGGCTACCACAAGTCTTAGCTGAGTTTCATACATGCACATGAACGCACATGTGTGTATGATGGAGATGGCCATTGTCAATGAGCCGCTTGCTTGGCCGTGTTACAGCTGTTTCGGCAGCATTGCATCGGCATGTGCTTAACCACGTCACACAGCAACAGAATCTGAGTTTCCCAGCTACCTAGATGTACATGTATTAGGGCCTAGCACCAGTGCAGTGCATACAGTTCACTGGCACAGGTCATCTGTGCTCATGTATATGTATTGCCTGTACTATTGCAGCAGCACACACCTGCTCCGAAAAGAAGTAAATTATATTTATAATTATCTCCTCCCCCTGGTCCCGTATCTTCGGTGGTGACCAAGAGGCAAGAAGCCAACCATTGGAAAATGTTGGTACAGTGCACCGCTCTGCTGCACCGCTCTGCGTCTAGTGCCCCTACTGGCATAAATCCTAACATTGTGAACTTTTAAAAAATGAATCATTTAAATGATACCGCCAAAGTCGCAGCAACGTCTTAGTTTGTATTGTGAACTTAACCTAAGCAAAGGAAAGTATTTGTAGGGAGTGTGGGGAGGGGAGAAAACAGTACTTGTATGCTCCGGGACTCGCTGTTGGTAGTTGCCCAAGCAGTTGCCCAAGCAGTTGCCCAAGCAGTTGCCCAAGCAGCCTTTGAATGTCGTCCTGCGGACCTACTGTAACAGTTGCAGTTCATGCACATGCGCGGTTCTCTCTCACGATGACTCGTAACTCTCACATCATCACCACATTGTAGTTTTGGAGAATGGATCTAACTGCTCCTGGGAATGAAATCTGCGAGTCAATCTCAATTTTGTTTTCTTTGCCATTTTTGTCTTCCGTGCCGTCACAGAAATTTGTGGTCGTCTGTTCATGAAGAAGCAGTTTCTAGATAATCCACCGGTACGAATAGCCAGGGATGTGTCCATCCTCGTAAGAACATGTGCTCATGGTGAGTCGAATGCAGCACTGCAGAGTGCACTCAAGCTTGCCACGCTCCTAGCTGCAGAGAGTGAGCATGTCGGCTCAATCCTGCCTCCGTCGTTCCAAGGCCAAGTCCGCTACGGTAAACTGCTTGATGTGCCGTCACACGATGATCCTGCAGCTGCCAGCAACCGTTTGGCTGGTGGTGGTAGTGAGGCGGCGAGAGGTTCCAGGGGCTCTAGGGGTTCAAGAAGTATCCAGCCGCCGATGAAAGTAGGTGGACACCGACGGTAGGATGTATTGCAGGTTTGCGGGCTGAGCAGGCATCACTAATCAGGTGTACAGTTTGCTCGCCACTGCACAATCAGACTTCTTTCCAATTGACCCTAGTTTGTGAGATGGCAGTTTAGAACATGCACCGTCAAGCCCTGCATACATGCATGTGTGCGTGTGTGTTTGTGTGTGCGGCGTAACTCGGCGCATCAAACACAAGACAGAGTGTGCCCAGGGCAACCAGCGACTGACATCCCCGTTTATCACCCATCCAAGCAAATTTGGTTGGCGACAAATGCCAGTTTGTGTGTCCCTTAACCCCCCCCGCCACCCTTGAGACCATGCTACTTCAAGTATTATTCACAAACCCATTACAAGGATACAATGAAGTTGCTAGCACTGTACACACAGTGTGAAGCCACAAGTATCTTCTGGCCCTTGAGTCAACCCTGGGGCTTTCTAAAATGCGATCAAATGTCTTTCACTGCCACGAGCTACATTTGATATTTGACTACGACATTTTCCCCAGTTACTGCTTTGAATCAGACTTTGATTTATCTGTGCGCCTCTCTTTCAAAGCTGCTGGCAGCATTTTGTATATTTTTCTAAGTATCTGATGCTAGGCAGCCACAAAGAGGCTCCCAGCCCCATCGCTGTTCTTAGAATATTTTTTCTCTTCACCATTGAAAATGAGAACACGGGCTGTGTGAATAGGAAGTCCGTCTATATTGCTGAAACGCCCCACCGCTATTTCTCTACCGATTTGAAACTGTAGAGTTGGTGATTTTTGTTAGAATCATTTTAGAAATGAGTACCAGTACTTTCAGAAGTCTCGCACTTATTCATTATTATTTTTGTGCTTTTCCTTGTGCACTTGGTATTGCAAATGTGTGAGCTGACGAAACAGAGGCACGTAGCTTGTGAATGCATGCTTGCCACACGTGTTAGTATGCACGAAGTCCGATCCACCACAGCAGAATCATGACCTGTGAACACCTGCCTGATCGTGCCCACCATGATCACTGCTTATTGGCCAATAAGTCAATTTGTCCCGGAAACACTTCAACAATACCTGTATCTCTACTCACCGGCGTCTGGAATCGGCATATGTGAAAAGAGAGAGACAGACAGACAGACAGACAGACAAGACAGACTGAGACAGACAGACAGACAGACAAGACAGACTGAGACAGACAGAGAGAGAGAGAGAGAGAGAGAGAGAGAGAGAGAGAGAGAGAGAGAGAGAGAGAGAGAGAGAGAGAGAGAGAGAGAGAGAGAGAGAGAGAGAGAGAGAGAGAGAGAGAGAGAGAGAGAGAGAGAGAGAGAGAGAGAGAGAGAGAGAGAGAGAGAGAGAGAGAGAGGATTGAAGGTATTACAAGTTTGCATAGTTGTCCGCCTTTAGTATGACTAAGTCTTGTAGATATTGAGGGGGGGGGGGCTAGAAACGAAGCTGGCCAGGTCTATGGAGCTGTCCCCACAGGATACCGCGATTCCGCAGACGCGCACTTTTCCGCGTTATTGGCTTTCATCCACGTTTTTGAGAGATTTTGCATAAAACCCACTGTATTCATGGGAATGTACAAGAAAATAGAACATGATGTTGAAAATGTACTACAAAGTCGTACCGGTCCATGAGTTTGTACGACAAAGTTGTATACTGTACTTCCATGAAACTGCATGCTAAAGTTGTACAAATGACAGATAACTCGTGCATAATGACCGCATTATACCGCATAATGGCCTGTTTTCGCCCGCACGGTTATCCGCATAATTTTAGGATTGTGTCCGCATTGTTCTGTGGGGACAGATGGAGTTTGTTTCTCGCGTACAGACTGTTAGTACAGAAAATGGATATTGTCTGCGCCGTATCTTCCCAATAGGTTCACAAGAACGGACTTTTCCCTTTTCAGCTCCCTCAACTAATGTAGATAAGAACAGTCTTGTGAGATATTTCAGCTTATGCCAGTTTGACTGTTACTTCATTCAGCTCAGTGGTAAACGACCAGCCAATGTCTTGCTATCTCTTTGTCTGTCAAATCCTATATATAGGATTTTTCCCAATTTTTGAGAAAGGGTAGATCATACCTTACAAAGTAAAGTTCTTTCTTCAAAACCCTGTTGGAGTCTGCATTCCGTGTGTATCAGAGATGATGCCTGCCAAGTTTCACCAGCACAAGGGCTTTACTTTTTCTGTAACAGGCCTTCCCGTGCAAACGTGTCCAGAATTTTCAAAATCCTGTATATAGGATTTGGCCTCTTCAAAAATTGGTTTTGTTCTTCCTCGTTTCCCCTGCCAATAAAAACCAAAGTTGGCAATATCCAAGCCTAGATATAGCCCATATGGAGCTAACAAAAACGTTCTATGCATCTATGGCTAAAGAAGAAGCACCTCCTAGGCTAGTACCAAAAGAGTATTCCACTATTAATTAATATGTGTACATACTTGAACACAACTGATTTAGTAAATGCCCCAAACATGTAGTGTCTTTAGTTCATATTGATCTGCGAGCACTTTACAACACTACTTCAATGCTAGGACGGTTCTAATATTCAACTATTCCACTCCTAGTCTATTTCTACCACTTGTAATTGCAATTCATCAGCAATAATTGCACACAGATATCTTTCCTGGGGGTCTTAGCCAGTGAGTAACCTCTATTCATTCATTTTAAATAAAGAGAGGCATTGTGGGAAAGATCAAAATGCATCTTCAATAACATTGCTTCCACTTCGACCATTTTCGAGGCTGGAAATGCGTCTTGAAGTCTAATCCTATATATGGGATTAACTGGTGACAGACAAAGAGATATTTACGGGCAATGTCGACTAAACAGTACTGCACAAGCAGAAATATGCGGCGGGCAGTTCATCTTGTCATTTTCGTCCAAAGAGTTGCTGGACTAAGTTTAATGCAGGCCTAAATGTCAATATTAATTTTGTTTGGCCTTTCAATACGTTCAACGACCCGCAGGCGGTAATTTAAGCCAGACAAACTGCCTTTCTTTGGAGTTGGACGAAATTAGTCGCCTTAATGTTCTGCTTATACACGTATAGTAGTTGGCAGCTATGTCATACTGTCATACTGGATATGCCCACTGAGCTGCTATGTCATACTGGATATGCCCACTGAGCTGCTGATCACACATGCATGCAGAACGTGTACGACACTGCCTTCTTCTTGGTTCTGTTTGTCCGCTTATTATATATTTTTCTTTTCTCTTATTATCAGTGGGACCATTGTCATTAGGTTTAGGCCTGTTTTGGAACTCCACTTTAAATAAAGCCAAACAACAACAACAACTGCCACCGCCCACACTCATGAAGTAAGTGCCAGCTACGTAACAATACTGGGTGCCTGATAAAGACACACTGGCTCTGTGCTAGGTGTCAGATTTCACCATACTGGTAGTGCCTGTCTTGAAGGTACCACAACACACTTTTTTTAAACGTTAGATACATCGAACCCAAGCTGGAAGGTAGTAGGAATAATGGGACTGCGGCAACGGGGACAGCAACAACAGTGGCACAGATCTAGATGGAGGGAGAGCCAAGGCCGTTATCGTATCAACTTATATTGTACAGTTTTTGGCCGGTACGTCATTGCCAGAACAATCTCCATTGCTATGCTTGAGACTTGAAACATCACCAGGTAAGTAATGCGTTAGTTTAAGCTAGATTGCACTCCTAAACCATCCCGTCCCATGACCCATGATGAAAGTTTCAACCCATGGTACAACTAAACTTACTGGCAGTAGTTTCCTGGTTTCGAGTCTCTCTCCAACTGGTACTAGTAGTGCGTGGTAGTACACTCTGGTCTGACTGTAGAGTTGAGTGATGGAGCCACTTGGTTCACTATCTCAGTGCGATATCGGATATGAAGAGCTGTCACAGCCTGATGTTTCGCCACCCTATGCTGGGAAACTATCAGCCCTCTTGGTATGCAGGCTGCCAGGTGGCATGCTTGGAGCACTTGGGACGTGACCTGAACATAGACAGGCAAAGTGATAGTGACAAAGAAACGGAAACCAACATACTCACACCCTCAGCAGCGATTATTATAAAAAGGCAAAGTTCTGACCAACTCTCCACAGTCACACAATGCCAGCTCATTCACTCCGTACCAATCGTCTCAACTAGACTCCAGGCTGCAGTGTCACAGTGTAATTAGTAAGTCACACTACTCCATGAAACAACTGGAAGTGGAAGAAGACAGGCCTGTATTACACAGTAATCTAGACATCAGCCACCACTGGTAACTTAGTTAACGTTACCAGGAGGGTAGCCAAAATCAGACAGCCTGGACGAAAACGGGTCCAGCCGGGTGCAGCCGCGTGTTTGCTATCAGTCCTTACTTGATATTTGAGCTAGACAGGAGTTGTGCACTGCAGTGCAGGTCAGTACAGGCTGAAGCACTGAAGGGAGCATGCATGTAGAGTTTGCATATGACTCACTGGTTGCAGCTGCAGAATACAGCTGGTTTGTGTACGACAACCATCAGCAATCCACAACAGTGCCACTTGCATAATGATGGCTAGCATAATAATGGCTTTGCAGTCATGTAACACCATCATTGAGTACTACACTTGGCCATTGTCACAGCATAGTCCATTATGTCTGGCTGAAATAATGCTGCCTCTACTGATTACTGTCTCTTGTACCAGCCAAGAACTTGGCTAGGTACAAGCTGGCATGAAGCCGGGCTATGCAGCAAGTTGCTACTGGAATAAGAGCCACTCTTTCCCTTGCACTCTAAAATGTTGTGCTCCATTGCCCAAGGCTTGTTCTCAAGTACAGTGAACTGATTGGGTATACATGTAACCATGGTAACAGGGGTCAGCCTCCCCTGAGAACAGCTATAGCCACACAGTAGGCTTGATAAGCACTGGTAGCAGGAACCACTTTGGACATGAAAAACATACAGAAGAAGTGATTATGGTTCTCTCTGTTCCAAGTAGCTGTCCTTCAGTTTATGCCTACACCCCAGAAAATGATATTCATAGGGAGGGGGGGGGGACACTTGCATGTATGGATTTTGTTGTATCATGGGTCCTCGAAGTCTGGAAATGGCCTTTTCATCTTATGTATCCCTAATACAGGTATCCGTGATTTCTGGGGCCTGTCTCTCTCGAGTCTGCATGCCAGAGAACAACTTAGAACAAAGAAAACAGCACTTCTTCCAAGGCTGTAAAAGTTTTGTTTTCATCTCCAAAGAGGTTTGAGCTACACGTACATGTATCTTGCTAAGACGACCACTCGTCCAACGTCACCATGCCGGGCTGTCGGGACCATAATGACCTGACATACTAGCTTTGTTCAGCAGAGCAAGCAAGCAAGCAGAGCAGCATCATTGGACCTGCAGAGCTGCTAGCGCTTGACGTCTCTGTGATTGTAGAGACTAAGAACGTGCCTCTCAACACCCAGGAAACAAAGCTGACTCAAAGCAAACACAGGTTGCTATTGGCAAATGAAATTCTAGTGCTATAATTAAGACAGCCATGGTAAAAGACACACACACACACCAGCACTTTGTCCATGCTACACAAACATTCTCGATTACATGTGGCTCTTCCAAAATTTCCCCCATGAGCCGCATCATCAGCGGAGATGCTCTCAAGGGCGAACATTTTAAAAAACAAACTGAAGCATTTTGTGTAGCCAAAGACAAAGTGCTGGTGCGTGATTATTATTTTTATTATGACAATGCACCACTTCTTAAAGACAGGTGTGATACAATGCATTAAAAAACAGACCAAGCTGCCAAAAGATCCCTAGAGACTAGACCAACCATTGTCACACACAGTTAACCATGCATGGTGTGCAGATACACGCCTACACCATGCACAGGGCATATGCTGCTGTAGCCAGGAAGCGACGGCTGATGGATTTCATGTTCTGATGCGGCTTGTGTAACCCGCGGCCACTACAAAACACATTTGTGCTACACACACGCAAGATCGAGCACCCAGATGGGCCAGAGGGCGAATTGAGTGCCTGGGCGGCCAGGCTTGCTCACAAAGCGGAACGAGAAACTCACTATGGCACACTTCAGGAATGCTGCTTTGTTGCCACTGTTTCAACACATGATTGGGACGACATCCAAGAATTAAGTTATCCCGTTAACACTGAGTGCGCTGTTCTGGAGATGAAGCTTGACACCTTTCAGGAAGCAGCCGCCTCAAAGGCAGCGCACCTCACCAAAACCTTGTCCCTCCATTGAGAACTGGCAGCTTGCTATCAAGACCCCTGCCTGAAGGAACGTCCTTCAAGAAAACTTGTGAAGGAATGTCCTTCAAGAAAACTTGATTTGCACCGACGGTGGAAGAAGCTTGAAAAGCACCTGATGGACGCCATATAAGAGTGATACGTACTAAAACAGCCCATGGAGACTGCAACCCTACTGGTGAAATCCTGGATGATGTGATCCCATTTCTGTTTCACACGAAGCAGCCACTTGAAAACTGATAGGACATGCATGTATTCGACAGCAGTTATCTCCAGTCGCATGGAACTCTTCTTGCTTTTGTTACTAAAGGAAAACATCCGGGGGGGGGGGGGGGGGGGGGGGTTGTGCAGAAAATTGACATCTAAAATTTGCCTCGCACGTCCTGTCCCTACCTATAGATTTGACTATGTTCGCCGGCACTGATCCCAACGGCCTCATGCGTACGTGGCTCCGTGCACAGCACACACACACACACACTCATTGTACTTAAGGATACGCCGCCACACTGGCAACGTTACTGAGCCATGTTCTGGACATTAGGTCTGCCCACCACCCGTGTCCACTGAGCATTAATGTGCAGCTATGAGTATGAAAAATGGAACCACTGCAGGTCCAATCCCAGTAATTCAGCCATGAATGGCCACACACAAACCTGAAAAAACTGACCAAGAAAATGCATGGTAGGTTAGCATGGTAGGTTAGCATGGTTACTTATAGACCTCAAAGGCAACTACATGTACTTCAGTAGAAATACAGTTCTTAGCAGGCTACACAGTGACAGTCATACTACGAGAGCAGTTGCAAGTAATTAGTTACTACTTCTAGTACATGTAGTAGTATTCACGGGGGGGGGGGGGGGGTGTTCCTGGACCCTTCTCAGTGTTGATGGGCTCCTACAAGCAGTCATTGTACAGCAGGTGGTAGTATAGGCTTGTGTTCTTCAATCAACTCTGCGGCAGTGTAACACAACTTCACAAGAGTAGAGCCACTGCAAATTACTGTGGATATTTCCGTGCATACTGCTAGGCGTTAACCACATGTGCCTACATTCACTAGTACAACGTAATTAACGTTATAATCGAACGGGTAGTGGCTGTAGCTTGGGGGAACGCAGGCTGGAAGAGAAGGAATGAGTTTAAACACCATGCTCTCCGCAGCAGACTGCTGCACACTAGACTGAGTAACATTAGTTGTCACACTCGGCAAGACTTTCCCCAATATCGTGTAGCAATGATATCGTGTCAAGTGTATGTACAACCCGTAATGATATTTTACAAGGTGTGATTATCTTATTATTTCAGATTCCACAGGTGGCCCAGGCGGCACCCTCCCAAACAGCTGATTACAAGGCAGTTTCACAGGACCAATACAGCCCAGTGTCAGGACATGGCATGATGCACTCATTGCCAAGTAAGTTGCTTGGCAGACTAGATGGTGTGACAGTGTACACACAATGCTGTTGATTCAAACTGCAGGAGATACTTGCACCGCTGCAGGGTGTGTGTAAGAACTCTTCAAAGTCATGCCAATATCTAATTAGCGCCAAGGTCATACCCCGGAGGCTTCACCTGCCCATTGTGGATTGACATATATGCACAAAATGCTCCCTGCATAACTACACCTGGTGACCCAGTATTCTGATTAGCACGGTGTGTGGATTGATGTGACTGTACCAGCACATTGTGGAACAATACACATCAAGCAGCCCATTATGTGATCGTCCACACTGCATACCCAGGCATGTGGGACGTGAGAGTAAGAGGCAGATGTCAATTATACACCATCCTCCACATGGTTTCCTGGTGGTCCTGTATGATGGCCTCAGTAATACTACAGGTATGGTCTGACACAAACAAAATAACACATCATGATGCTCTTTACCATGGTGCCTAGCTTACAGTCAGCTGCACAGTCCCAGCTGCACATTCACACTACTACTACTGAAATACTGTGCCTGGCAAAACCTACCTTATAGTGACAGGACACCTGCAGACAAACCGCATATCCAGATATTCAGTCCTAACCAGGTACTTGAGGGTAGGAACATCAGGGTTGTCAACAGTTCACCCATTAGTAGGCATTACTCATTAACCTAAATGTGACTGTAAACAAAAGCAATTACCTGCACAGTCATATATACCTTGAATCATGGGCCACTGGTGACAGCATTATATATGTACAGTACATGAAACAACTGAGCCCGTTGAATCCAGCATTGCTTGTTGGATCCAGGATTGCTTGTTGAATCCAGCATTGCTTGTTGGATCCAGGATTGCTTGTTGAATCCAGCATTGCTTGTTGGATCCAGGATTACTTCTAATGCCCAACCAATAGAGTAAAGCAGGTACTAAGAAGCTAGCTGTGCGGCCCAGGCCACTGGATGAACACTGAATAAACCAGTGGCAGAGATCTAATTTACTCTGACATGCCGGTAGTATTACCATACTGTACTGACACCGTACTGTACTGATGAATCCTACACGTGTATGGCCGAAACAGCTTGCTGTCTACAGGATTGGGTATCTTGCTCCTCGACATTTGTCTCAGTTGTTGAGTACTCTCGGTAGGCTGCTTTAGTGCTGCTGCGTTACGCATTGCCCTCTGCTTTTCGTAGTTAGAGCACTCTGGCGCTAGAGTGACGAGCTATCTTAAATTAATGTGTGTGGTGCCTTCTTTGCACCATGGCTGGTAGCTCAGAGTCAGCTTACAGCTCGTACATGTAGCTGTACTGATGAGGCCTTTATGGCCGAAACAGTTGGCTGTCTACAGCATTGGGTACAGGTAGTATTAGGTATGGTGTACAGTACAAGGGAGAGACAGTGTGAACACTGAAGGAACATCTTCAAATGTACACGAGTACGCTAGTAGTAAGGGGTTTATCTGAGCAGCATATAAAGCTGGCTGGCTGTAAGTTGACCACTGGTACACTTTGTACTTGTACTTGCTCACTGCCAAAACTGGTCAACTGTGCCTCCTGGGAGAGGGATTCAAAAGGAATTTTGCAAAGATGACTCAATTGAACTGGCTATTGAACGGCCCAACTGCCGACAACCCTGCAATCTCCAAACAATGGGTGGACTTGGAAATGATCTCACGTATGGGCTCACCACACCTCAGTAAGTGGTTGAGGACAATGTGCAGAAAAATGACTGACGGAATAAGGGTATCTCTTCCCGGAATCCTTCTGCATTTCCCCCTGCCCTCCAATGAAGGTACTAATACTAAGTAGATGCTACTAGCGTGGGTGGATAAATCAGAGTGGATCTCAGGATATACATGTAAGCTTCACTCAGTACCATTTTGATTACACAAGAGTGAATCTAGCCAGATGTCGTCCATGGATAAGAGGTATGTGCATGTGCATTGTAATATACTTCGAATAGAAAGTATATGAACCCTGAAACCAACAAAGGTGGCAGGTACAACATTACACCACATCCTTCCCTCTATGGTGGCTTACCAGTGATTAGATATGGACATGCCCTCATTGCATTGTCTCCTTCAACGATAGAACACCTGGGAGCATACGTTCTGCGAAGCACATCTCCAGCAAGTGGGGCAACCCATGCTCTGATATTGTAAATTTGAATATGAAGCCATCCATTGCAACAGCCTAGAAACCCATCTCTGCAACATCTGTACGAACGAAAAAGATTCAGAATTATCAAAGAAAGAGGTGAGTGCTGTATTGGTGGGTTCTCACCCCCCCCCCCCCCTCTTCACGTGAATGTTGTCAGTTACTCAGGGGCGTCACACGGTATGACCAGTACGACTGGGGTTGTACCACTTTTCGTCCAGGATGGTCCGCCCAGAGCACCTGTAGAGCGCTAAAACGTGCCCTGTTGGCTGAAATACCCCCCCCCCCCCCCGGGCGTACCACTCCCACCTGCCCTGTGACACCTCTGGTTACTGTAGTGAGAATTTCAAGAAAAAGAAAGATCCTCTAACCGTCTAACGTCTAATGCTGGCATTGTGCACGATACAAGATGGCATTCTTATACATGCACATGTATAATCAGGTACTTCTGACCAAAGAAATCCGACCCACGTGCCGAAAGCAGCGCCAAGGGTCATGCCGAGTCTACGATCCTCGGATGTTTTTTTTTAATGTAATGGAAATGGAAATGCGGCGCTACTTTTGACTCGCGGGTCGGATGTCCTTGGCCACGGCTGTACATCAGATTATCCTACTTCTTGAATAGTAGACCTGGTATGTTAACGAACTGGCTAAATGCCCGATACGACACATTTACACGCATTTATTTCAATGCCGTGCAGTCCAAGGCCGTTAGCGGTCAGGTACTCGCAATACACGCACTTGTTCATCTAAAATGATCGCTTGAGGACAACATCCAATCCGCGAAATAGAGAGGCCGGCCCTAGATCTTGTCCAACTAACTTACTTACATCATACTTACGAACTCAACCTACTTACTTTCCCTCTCAGAGCCACGGAGTAGAGCTGGATACAGTCATGTACATTCATTTTGCTCCTCGAAGATAATAATAGCCGTCGACTACAGGACCCGCAAAGAGAAAGAACTCTACTTTCATCTCTCCCATTTACAGAGTCAGAATCTACAACTAGCAGGGACCAACGTTGAGAACATGCTAGCAACAAACTTATTACTTGAGAAACCGGGAGAAGTAAGTAATACTAGTAATAGTTAGTTTGAGGCCGAATCGGATCATGAGAAAGGAAGTGTAGTTTCTCCTTGCATGGTCATCATGGTCATATGGACCAATGCAGGCGCCATTGTTGCGTTGCCTTGACGACTATGAAAATACCAGGCAGCTGTGAACTGAAAGCCCTTTCACGACTCGCTGAGATCTCCTGGATCATGGAGAACACAAAAGTAACTGTAATACTATTACTAATACTAATAGTCATGCTGCTGCATGCTGCTTGCACTTGTTCAAGTAAGTAAGTTAGTTGCAGTTGTTCGACGAAATCCCTTTTTGTGTCAGATTCAGAGGACTTCAGTTGTTGTGGAACTATCCTGCGATTTTATTGAAGAAAGCTCACACGGTGACTGTTCCAGTATATCGTGAGTAGCCACAACACCAGACCACGTGACCACCATACGTCCTGTCCGTCTCACGGGCCGGATGGATGGTAAAATACCGGTGACCGCTGTACGATCACTACCTACACAAAGACTGACTGACGCAGTTAAAACCGGCTAGCTCAATCGGAGTGCATTGAATACTAGTCTTGAACCGTTGAAAGCGACCATGACACAGACTGGAAAACAATCCCCATTTCCAGTTGATTGCCCTCCGGTTCCCAAGTGGAAAGAACAAGCACACAGAAAGGAATAAGTTCATGTTGGAGAATCATATTGGTGATCGTGAGCAGGATGGCGTCTTTTAAAAAAAGACTTCGAAAAGTAGAAAATGTTAACACTCCTGTCAGGCTGTGAGTGGTCGTTGCTACATTGTAGAGCTGAGGAGAGGACCTTCTTCGCCTTTTCTGGCGTACTAAAGCGGCTTTGCACCACGACAAAACAGTAGTTAGAGACTTGTAGTCCCTGTGCGTTTAACTATGAACACGCCAACGCGCCAAGTGATCGAGACATGTTTGGGGGAAACGGTTGACGGACTAGTAGTGGCTCTTGACCTTGGACCAGGATGGAATTGAAGTTGTCTGAATAGTGGTGGCACTTTGGACAAGTCCAAGGACAATGCCTACTTCTAATAAAAAATATTGTGCACGTCCAACAAACTCCTCCGGCAACTTGACGTGATAGGACTGAGAGGTTATGCGAAAGACGTGGCAGTCAAAAGCACGTTGATTGCAGTAAAAGTTGTTGTTCGAACGACATCACCTTGATCACTGGTTTCTGGCCATATGGTGACATCATCTCTCCGTCTACTCGAAGTAGTTGTCAACTCGTTATCGACTATTGGCCCATGGCAGGAGATTGATATAAGTTTCCTCGTTGGCGGAAAAAGCCTCCTCAAGAAGTACCCACATCAACCTCTGCACGCACAACAACACGCTACCTTGTCAATGTACATGTATATTGGGTAGAGTGATCGACTCCTTGTTGTTGTCGCCGCGTGTCGAAAGCGTTACCAATTCGTGCACATTTCGAGCAGCAAGTGCAGTCGTTCATCCCAGCAGGGCAATACACTGGCAATTACGACAGCACCGCAACTACACGAAGCCCCAGAGGGTCAACGGGAGTTTTTTAGAAAGCAATACTCGGTCAGCTCGTCGACGAGTGGTGACAATCGAGAGAGCAAGACGAGCAAGAAGTCGTCACCATCACGCTTTCTCGGTTAGGGTTTCCTTGTTCGATCATCGCCTTCTTTTATTACACAATGTGCATAATCCCGAACAATACCTCCCAGACAAAGGAGTTGAAACTAAGGGGCCGTCCGTAATTATCGATCTTTTTCACGAAGAGAAAAGGTTTCTTATATGGGTGGGTGGGTTTAGGAGAGTTTCGTTTTGAAAATTGTTGATAACTGAAATGTCAATCAATTTTAGCTGTCAAGTCAATATTTTTCGTTGAAGGGGGTGGGTGGGTGGGAGAGGGTCATAACTAAACTTTTTCGTTCCGTGAAAATTATCGATAATGTCGGATGGCCCCTAAGGTTCAGACTCGAGTTTTAGACAAAGCAGCCATGCAGATCGGAGATACCCGTGCACGAATGCTCTCTACTCCCCCGCTGGAACAAGTCGTATCCACCCTTAAATCTAGACATCTGCTCGAAATCTGACTTCCCTGCGTTCAGAATCTTTTTGTCTGCAAGGTAACCACGTGCAGTATTGCGTATCAAGTCGCCTGTCGTGCAGGTCTACGTGAGCGATCAGGGTTAGGACTGGAATCGTGAGTAAAGATGGTTGAAACTTGCCTCGCCAACACCGCGTTCCATTACTGGGCGGAAACGATTTATGGGAACTTAAGCATGTCTACACGTTTAGATTCTGCTCGTCTTTGCTTGTTTTCGCGGCAGTCAGTCGTTGCCTATGCCCAAGAAAGGATACGGAAAGGATCCATTGCAAAGCGGATCCAACATGACGGTCTTGTCGAGAGGTATGAAACACAGACTTACTAGTACATGGCTAGTGCAGCGTCCCTTCTCTTCCTACGATGACGATCCCTCAGCCCTGTTTCCCTCAGCCCTGTTTCCCTCAGCCCTGTTTCCCTCAGCCCTGTTTCCGTGCCTTATTGTTGTGATGTGAATCTCGCAGGGAATGCCTTGAAACTTGCGATGGCGTGCAAGGTGTATTGAGTCTATTGACCCAAGAGAGATAGAGATAGAGAAAGATAGACAGATAGATAGATAGATAGATAGATAGAGAGAGAGGGGGGGGGGGGGGATTTGCACGGAAGCGCCCTAATCCGAGCGCGTTAGTTCTTGATTGGATGGATCTCTTGACATGCATGGACTGATGATGTACGTGCACAATGGTATGGGAGGCTGCGCCATATCGGAAACAAATCGTATGGTGCTGATGTATCACCACTCGAAACGGTTCAGTCAACTGCAATGGTACATCGACATACAATGATGCAGATGCAGCACTCTCACAGGCGGAAGAAGACCAACTAACTTGGCTGATCTAACATGACTGTGGCAACTCAATAACACTACTATTATAATTATGTACATGTACATACGATAGTGTACTGCGTATCCGTATAGCGGTGCATGGGAAGATATGGACATTTTATGTACCAAGCCTCCAACTAATTCATGTACTTCGTTTGGAAGGATATGTCAACACCATCATTCACCCCACGGCACCACGATGCTGTACCCTTGCGAATGGCAGCAGATACTGTATGGTCAACAAAGTACTAGTAGTTGTTAGTACTAGTAGAGTCCCTTTACTCAGCTATCGTACTATGCTGCTACATTTGCACCCCGCCTCTCTGAGGCCGGGTTGATGAACTCTACTACCATTAGTGATGCAAAGAAGAATAGGTCTTGTCGCTTTTTTTCGGTACGAGATCCAGTAAACCTTCCATCTAGAAACCCTTCTTCGAGCTTCCTGATGACCGCACGTATACTGATTGCAAATCTAAGCAGAGGTTGCTGGATGTGGGCGGACCACATTCTACCATGCTTGTTCACCGGCGAGCATGGCTAAACGACCAAAGCTGACCTAGGCAACAGGCCGAAGCGTGAAAATCTGGAAGGAGACTAGCCCGTGTGCGTAATCAAGTCTTCTTTCGACAGCCGGGAATGATCGCAAGTTCTTGAAGCACACACGATAGAATTGTGCAGGACTAGCACTGAGCTACTAGCCTTTCAGCCCACCCGATCAAGCCGACCTTCCGATTCTAGTTGGAAGCAGAAGTGTTTGATGATGTCAAGCGTTTCTCCATAGACTGGACTCCATCTCGTAGCTGATTGGAGCGTTTCCTGCGTCTGAAGCAGGCACACGTCGTCACAACATGACAGTAGCTGCGAGGGGTTTACAGGACATTAGATTTCCTAACACCATACGCTGGAGACTCGCTTCGCTAAGTCTTTTCATCACAAGGCCAGCTTGCGAATGAGAGTGACCAGAGCGCTGCGTGAGAAAAAATGGGGGTCAGAATTCCACTGAGACAATGGAGGAAGGGGGAAAGATGAGTTGAATACCTCTCGGATCATGACCAGATGCTCGCCATATCCTCTGCGCATAAGTGCGTAACGAGATATCAAGCAAACACACGCGAAAAAGCGGGCAGGAGAGTGGACTGGCTGATGCATCTAGGGTAAGATCTCCCACCGCCACAACACTACTTCACGTGCATGTGCTCCTCTTGCAGCACGGATAGTCGTAGTCGTCGCATTGTCTACTCTGTCAGCTTACTGTAATAGAGGCAATATCAACTCTTGATAATACTTCTTTGTTGCCATCATCAATACCCATAAGACATGAATGCACAGGGCTCCTAGTCCAGGTGAGAAGAGCAGGGCGGTGGTACAAAATAATGACAGTATTGTATTCCCTTTATAGCATGAAGTGGAAAACTCGAACTTTTTGATACCATAACATATGTGTAGCGATGAACAAAATTATTATAAAAGTCGTGCTCATGTCAAACAACAAAGTAGCAAAGGCTTTGTTCCAGAACATTTTCTTGTCACATTCTTCAGTGGAATCTTGTGACTGAAAGAAGATGGATGACCAACAAAAGGATATACATGTATACACTTTAGGTGAAGGTTAACAGTGTGCAAGATATATTATTACAATTTACAAGTACGTGACAAATATTGTTTGATACCACTTCTGCAATGAATATTATGATAGTATCAGTAATGGCAAGGCCTACACTACTAGTATATTCATGGTGTGGATCACTTGACAAAAGCATGCCAAGCGCCGGAGTGTTCAATACAAGAGCGATGCAAATGTTAATGATATTTTGTACTCTTGACGACATGTCGATTCTTGACGCACCCTCCCCATTCCACTGCTATTGTTTTGGTGCCCATCGTGCAGATGTGCGACAAAGGCATTGCAACATGACGGTGCTTACAGCAACTCGATGAGCTATGGGGTGCCTTGCCTATTACGATGACTGGATCTTGTACCGCAGATCAAGTAGGTACATTTGCGCAGTCTTGTTCTCGACCCAGAGCGACCCATCCTTAGTAACTACCATGATAGCTTTATTTGAGTATTTTGTTGTGGACATTGCAGATCCCAGCGTGAGATA